TTAGATGCCCCAAAGAAGCTGGGTGGTGAGGAAACAGTGTGCAGGGCTCTGAAGTCCTTGCTTCTCCAGGTGTTCACAGGCCATGGGGACACAGACCATAGGCCTGGCCTGACTACCCAGACAGCCTGGTGCACCCTGTACTGTTGAGTTCCACCTCCATGCCACTGGCTGCCTGGCAGGTTATCTTATCAAGATGACTCCCAGATATTAATTTATCCTGATTTTTGAGTTTGGGATACCTTCTGAAAGTTGGCTTCTGAAGGGAAATGCCTAAGTCACTTAACCTGAATAGAGGCCCAGACCAATTTGTGATGGATGGAAACATGTATAGAAACAGCTGTGGCCAGAGGTGAGTTCTAAGAAGAAGAAAAAAAAAATCCCATGAGGCTGCAGGGACGGGTAAGTGCTGTGGAGTGCTTCTCCAAAACCAGAGGAATGTGTGGACCGCAGGCTCTCGGAAACAATGTTTGCCTCAGCTCCCCAGCTAGATAGTCATTGTGGATTCGAACAGGCTAGAGGCTCCCAGGGTCTTGGATCTTGAAATGTTGTTTTTCTAGTTCAGTCAAGTTGGGCAAGTCTACTGTGTGTTTATTTACTGTGCTGGCTAGTTTTATGTCAACTTGACACAAGCTAGAGTCATTTGGGAAGAGGGACTCTCAACTGAGAAAATTCCGTCATAAGACTTGCTTGTAGGAAACTCTATAGGGGTTTTCTTTTTTTCTTTTCTTTTCTCTCTTTCTCTCTGTTTGTCTTTCTTTTTTTTTTTTTTTTTCTTGACAGGGCTTCTCTGGTTACCCCTGGATGTCCTGGAACTTGTTCTGCAGACCAGGCTGGCCTTGACACTGATCTACCTGCCTCTGCCTCTGAGTTCTGGGATTAAAGGTGTGAGACACTACCACCCAGCCCTGTAGTGCATTTTCTAAATTAGTGATTGACATTGGAGGGCCCAGTTCATTGTGAGTATTGCCATCCCTGGTCAGGTAATTCTGGGATGTATAAAAAAGTAGACTGAAGGAACTGGAGAGAGGGCTCAGTGGTTAAGAGCACTGGCTGCTCTTTCAGAGGACCTGGGTTTAATTCCCTATACAGTAGCCCACAACTGTTTGTAACTCCAGGAGATATGACACCCTAATACAGACTTACATGCAGGGAAAACACCAATGCACAAGAAAGAAAAAATAAGTCATTAAAAAATGCATGCAACTGGGAATGGCTAGGGGCAGGGGGGATGTTGGGGGGAGGGGGGGGAGAGGGGGAAGGGAGTGACATCTGAAACCAGCTTGTTCCTAATTTGAACTAATAAAATAAAAGAAAAAGAAAAAAATGCATACAACTTTAATCCCAGCACTCGGGAGGCAGAGGCAGGTGGATCTCTGTGAGTTTGAGGCCAGCCTGGTCTCCAGGACAGTTAGGGCTGTTACACAGAGAAACCCTGTTTCAAAACACACAAACAAACAAACAAAAAAAAACCCTGACATCCCGCAAAAAAACCATGGAGAGCAAGCCAGTAAGCAGTGTTCTTCCATGGCCTCTGCATCCGTTCCTGTCTCCAGGTTGCCTTGAGTTCCTGCCCTGACTTTCCTGGTTGATGGGCTACAAGCTGTAAAATGAAATAAACACTTTCCTCCCCAAGTGGCTTTTAGTGTTTTATCACAGCAATAGAAACCCTAAGACATTTACGTTTACTTATTTTCGAGACAAGGTCTTATTAGGTAGCCCTGGGGGGAGCCCCCCGCCCCGCCCCCCCAGTCCAGACACAGACTTGTAGAGCCAGTCTCTGGAGCCCAGGAACCAGGAATCTGGTGTTGGAAAGTGACTGATATCTGATGTCTGTCTTTGACTATACACACACACACACACACACACACACACACACACACACACACACACAGAGAGAGAGAGAGAGAGAGAGAGAGAGAGAGAGAGAGAGAGACGAACAGGTTGTATAACAGTTTCCTCTGAGATTGAAACATTATATCCTGCATGGAAGCTCCTTAAGCAGAAAGGCAAACAACTCAAAGGAGCTGAAGGAAGTTCCTGAAACTCACCAAAATCACTAGGCTCCTCCCTGCCAGAGTAAGCACTAAAAGCTGAGCCTGAGCCTCTGTCCCAGAGAGAGTGAATTCAAGCGACAAAGAAGACTTAGACAAGCCAAGCAGAAGAGAAGATTCTCAGACCAGACCAGCAGCCTGGAAGTGAAACCAGCTGATCTGCCTAGAATTGGTTTAGACCAACTGAGGCACCTGGAAGGGATACTCTCCAACTTGCTGAGCTGTCTGCAGGCTGTGCAGTATGCCCCAGATTCCCAGCTTTGTGAGCTGTCACCCATGCTGGGGTGGCCCTTGGTGATGCAGTTGTGTTTGAGTCATTTCTGCTCCCGTAAGGAACCCCTCACCCATATTCCTGTAAGTAACCCCAATAAAGCTCATTGGTTCACTAAGTTTTTTTCCAACTTTTTTATTTGAGTTAGAAACAGGATTGTTTTACATGACAATCCCTTCTCCCGCCCTCCCGTCCTCCCCTACCACCCCTGCAACTAAAACCTACCTATCACATATCCTTTCTGCTCCCCCTGGATGGTGAGGCCTTCCATGGGGTGTCATCAGAGTCTATCATATCCTTTGGGATAGGGCCTAGGCCCACCCCCATGTGTCTTGGCTCAGGGAGTATTCCTTTATGTGGAATGGGCTCCCAAAGTCCACACCTATGCTAGGGATAAGTACTGAACTTGGTTCACTAAGTTAAACTTTGGTGGTATCTGTACTTTGGTCTGCCATGGTTCCCTATCTGGGGTGAGTAGATGTGTGTGTGTTTTGTCTCCCCAAGAAAAGCTTGCCACACATCAACATGTGTGCCTCAATCACACAAATAAAATAAAAAAAGACATCTACTCATGTCCCAGCTTATTCCATGAGGCAAGTACTACCCTGATATTAAAACCAGGGAAAGCCATTATAAGAAAACTAGACCAAGATCTATTATTATTATCAACGCCAATATTCAGCAAAATATTAGCAGTCCAAACCCAGCAACACATGGAAAGGATTATACCCCATGACCAAGTGAAATTTATCCCAGAACTCAAAGTTGGCTTAATATCCAGAAGTCAATTGATGTTATCCATCATGTCAACAGAATAAAAGAGAAATACTATGAAATCATTTCAATATTTATTGAAAAAGAACACTGACAGAATCCAATACCCTGTCATAATAAAAGCATTCAACAGACCAAGAACTGAATAAAGGACTTCCTCATTTTGATAAAGGGCATTGAAAGTGAGAGAGGGGGTGGAGAGAGAGGAAGAGAAAAAAAACATATAAACAAACTAATATTAGCATCATATTTAATGGTGAAAGACTAAATGCTTTTCCCTTCATTTCAGGAATAAAATAAGAATTTACCTTTAGGAAGTGAAACCATCTATATTTTCAGATGGTTTGATCTCTTATATAGAAAATACTAAGAAACCCATTTAGAAAAAAACAGCAATCTCCTAGGGTGCCTGGGAGGTGGTTTCATCAGTAAAGAGCTTGCTGCAGAAGCCTGAAGACATAGAGTTCAGATCCCCAGCACCCATGTAAAAGCCAGGCATGGTGGCTCGAGTCTGTAACCCCCAGTGCTGGGAATAGAAGCATGGAAACAGGAATATCCCTGGGGCCCATGCACATGTGAACTTGTGCAGACACCACACACACACATGAACTTATACATACACCACGTGCACTTACACACATGCACAGCATTTATACAAAGGCACACCCAAACAAACTATCAGATCAAGGTCTGGTGATACATGCCTATGAATCCAGCACCTGGGAGCTGAGGTAAGAGGACCTTGAGGTCAGAACAACCTGAGTTATGTGATCTTCCAGACACAAAGATCAACTCCCTTGACCCCAAAACCAATAGAACCAATGAGCAAGTTCAAGAAGATCACAAGTTTCAAAACTCAGTTGTGAGCGGGCAAGATGGTTCAGTCTGGTAAAGGCGCTAAGCCTGAGGATGCCAGTTTGATCTCTGGGTCCTCCATGGTGGGAGAACGGACTCCCACAATTTATCCTCTGACCTCTGCCCATGGGCGGTGACACAAGCATGTGCATATAGACACACATACATCACACGCATGCGTGTGCACACACACACATACAATTAGTGTAAAACAAAATTTTACATAATATTGAAAACATTTTAACTTCAAAGCATGCCAGTAAAAGGCATGAGTAACAGGTGGAAGTCACTTGCAGAGGTTTTTGTCTGTGGCACTGTTTAGAAAAGTGTAGCTTTTTTTCCTTCCTGACTCTTTTGGACACTGGCCAGTGCCTGGGCATGTTTTTCCCTGACACTTTCTAACTCATCAGCTCTCCCATTTCTGCCATGTTGCTGCTTGCTGACTTCCCTTACAACTGAATGGCTGTCTCCCACCCTCTTCTCCATCTGCCCTCAGCCCTGTAGCTGCCGACATGACAGCTTACCTACCCTGTGTGTTTCTCTTAAACTAATAAAATTTCCTCAAGCTTAAAAAAAAGGTGGAAGGTATTCATAGAAATGGAGAGACTATTTGCAAATCATTTATGTGATAAGAGTTCAGAAAAGAAGTCTTGCAAACCAACTTAAAAAAAAAAAAAAAGATGAACTGACTGGAGAAATGGCTTGGTCATCTTCTATAAATTATTTGCCACACAAGACAAGGACCTTAATTTGGTTCTCAGAACCCACATTAAAAAAAAAAACACAAACAAACAAACAAGAAAAGTAGCCAGGCCTTGTGGCTCATGCTTGTAGTCCTGGCACTGGGGAAGAAGAAACAGGCAGATCTCTGGGGCTCATTGAGCAACCAGCCTCACCTTCTTGGTGAGTCCAGGCTAATGGCATCCGAAGAATGGCAGCTGATGTCTCTAGCCTTCACCTGAACACACACACACACACACACACACACACACACACACACACACACACACAAACACACGTACAAATATCTTATTTGATAAGCGTGTGACAATAAGCACATGACAAGGCACAACATCACCCAGCTCTCACTGAAATCCAAATCAAAACTGTAATGGGATCCCAGCAGACAGTAACAGCTGTTGGTGATATGGGAATAAAAAAAGATGCAGCTGCCTGAGAACATAATCTCTCTGTATTTCTATGGTAAAAACGGGCTACATCTATTTCCCAATTTCAGTCCATCTCCTGTGATTGTACAGTTACCTCTTCAAAGAGAGGAATACTACAGTAGCCTTGATCAGGGCTCTGTGGAGGCCCATTAGGGAAGCCATTTCACTAGCCCAGATATATACTTAAAATCCCAAACTACCCTGATCAGGGTTACCATGTGACCCAGGAACTCCACCCAGAGGTGTGTATTTAGGAAAATTAAAAACATACACAATACAAACACTCCTACAAGAATGTTTACAGAAGTATATTATTCAAACTATCCTAAATATCTATCAACTGATGGATGGCAAATAAAAACAATGTATGTGTACAATGGACTCTTATTCAGCAATAAAAATGAGTGAAGTACTGACCTGACCCAGCCCCCCATGAACCTTGAAAACTTGCTAAGCAAGAAGACCATGTATCCTATTACCAGAGAATCCTGTTTGTGTATGCTGTGTGCTGGAGAATGAACTCAGGGCCTTGCACATGCTGGTTGTGATGGTTTGAATGAGAATGACTCCCATAGGCTCAGATGTTTGAATACTTGCTTGGTCCCTGTTGGTGGAACTGTTTGGGAAGGATTAGGAGGTGTGGCTTTGTTGGAGGAGGTGTGGCCTTATTGGAGGAGGTGTGGCTTCACTAGGGCATTAGACTTGGGCGTTTCCAGTGTTCTCTCTTTATCTCCTACACGTGGGAAGATGTGAGCACTTAGCTGTTCTTGTTGCCATGGCTGTGCTCTGTCATCATGGATTCTAGGCCTCTGAAACTGTAAACTCAAACTCTTTCTTTTATAAGTTGCCTTGGTCATGGCATTTTGTCACAGGGTTAGAAAAGTAAGTGAGACACTGGCCAAGTACTCTACCACGAAGCTGTATCCCCCAGCCCTATTTATAATCCCTGGTACCAAATAAAACTGCATACATTCTAGAACCTCATACATCCTACCACTGAACTACAACCCATTCCATTTTTCATTTTGAGACAGAGTCTTACTAAGTTGGCCTGGGTGGCCTAGAACTCACATGCCACTTAGTCAGGCCTTGAACGTTGCATTCTTCTGCCTAAGACTTTTGAGTAGCTGTGTTTAATAAACCTGAGCGATGAGACTCAGTTTCTAATTCCATTTATATAAAGTATATACAATGAATTATTTCTTCTTCATCTTCCTCCTCTTCCACTTCCTCTCCTGGGACAGAAGTCTTGATATATAGCACAGGCTGGCCTTGAACTCACTATATAGCCTAAGACTACCTAGCCTCAGACTTGTGACTCTCTTCCTGCCTCAGCTTCCCAAGTGCTGGGATTAATGATGTGAGCTGCCACACCCTGGTAAAGATTTCTTTTTGACATAATAAAATTATTCTAAAAATTGATCACAGGGCTAAATGTGGTTATGTATAACCTAAATCCTGGCACATAGGGGATGGATGCCGGGTGATAGGAATCTTGTCATCACCATAAGGTTTCAGGGCCTAGCCTAGGTCTGAACTCTGCCTAAAATAAATGCATAAATCAGATTGACTTCAGGAGTGATTTACAATCTGTTACTATACTAAAGACGTTCTATAGTATGCTCTGCTGTGTATGCACCTGTGTATGGGAGAGCACTTGCACATGTGGAGGTCAGAGGTCAATGTCAGTGTCTTCTATTGCATTCTTCCTTATGTTTAAGGGCAGAGTCTCTCACTGAACCTGGAGTCTCTGATAGGCTAGAATGACTGGCCAGAAAGCCCTAGGGGTGCTCCCATCTCCATGTCCCAGAGTTGGGATTATAGGAGCATGTGAGTTCTGGGGATCCAAACTCAGGTTCTCATGTTTACACAGCAACCACTTTACCCACCAAGCCATCTCCTCAGTCCCTACTGAATACTTTCAATGTGTGAACTGAATGGAATATGGATTGTATCTTTTTTTTTTTCTTTTGAGACAGGGTTTCTCTGTGTAGCCTGGGCTGTGTGAAACTGCTCTGTAGACCAGGCTGGCCTTGAACTCACAGAGATCCGCCTGCCTCTGCCTCCTGCATGCTGGGATTAAAGGTGTGCGCCGCCACGGCCCAGGCCTGGGTTGTGAACTATTACAAAAAGAGGAGGAAAGCCCCTAGATGAGCTCCAGTTGCATCCCTGACCCAGAGGGCTGGTGAGCTCACAAACAGAAGAGCAGGAAATTTCGCCCTCACCTCCTCTCGCTTTCTCTCCCCCTGCCCTTCCTTCCCATGACCTCACAGGCTGGGCTCCATACCTCCTTCTTATCCAGGCTGGCGCTCAGGCTGCGTCTTCTGTTTTCTGTGTCTGTGCCTCTGGCTGTCATCGAGTGCCCTCACTCCTGCGAGAATTTATGTAGAATCTGTGTTCCGCCAAGCACTTTGAGGCAAACAGATCCCAGGTATTGCCTTCAAGTCATCTGCAGCACTGTAGGTGAGATCAAGCATCATTTAAGATTTCATTCAGTTGATTTAAGAGAAAAATCCACATGCAATGGCTTACCAGAAATAAGATTGAGCTTGTTTCTAATGGCCTGAAGGTGGGCAGGCCAGGCTGGTTGTGCAGCTCTTTGGGACCGTGGCTGAAGTGGGTGGAGGAAGAGAGAGCAGAGTGGCCATTAGTTGGATGTCTATATGGGGTTGAGGGAGAGTCTGAAAGGTGGTCCAGGTGGATGAAATGAACCAGTTCGGACAGACGCTGGGGATGGAAGAGGAGAAGGACCATCTTTGGAGTTCCCTTGTACCTTTTTTCTCCTTTAAAAATTAGTATTGATTTATTATGTGTGTGGGGGTGGGGAGAATGTGTTTCAAAGAAAGTTACAGACATCAATGTATGTTGTTTCTAATCACTTCACGACACACACCGCTGGAGTTCAATGGCAGTATGTATGCGTGTGTGGAAAGAGCCCAGGGCCTGGCATATCCTAACACCCCGCCACTGAACCAAACCCCAGTCCTTTCTGTAGACTGTTTCTAAGGTTAAAAATCACATACAAGAAGTGCACAGACCTTATTTCCACATTAGGCAACAGACACCTGTACCCATGTCACTGAAACTCCTATCAAGAGACATTACGAACTCTCCAGAACGTTCCTCCTTCCAGGTTGCTCTAATCTTGTCGCCCCACATTAGTTTCATTTGTTTCGGGTCTTCACAGAAATTGACTCAGGGTAGAGTTGACTCTGTGCCTCTTTAAGTCACATAGGACATTCATTCATGTTGTGGCTCGTGTTTGGTAGTTGGCCTCTTTTGTTGCTGAGTCATATTCCACCAGCTGATTCTATCAGGAGAATTCTCCATTCTCTAGGTAGTCACCGGGGCTGTTCCAAGTAGAGTTGGAACACAGAAAAGCTTTGACCATTCTTGGATGGGTCTTTCACTTATGTAAAGATCTAAAAGTGTACGGGGCATTGGTGTCGCATGCCTTTAATCCCAGCACTCGGGAGGCAGAGGCAGGTGGATGTCTGTGAGTTCAAGGCCAGCCTGGTCTCCAGAGTGAGTGCCAGGATAGGCTCCAAAGCTACACAGTGAAACCCTGTCTCGAAAAACCAAAAATGTACTTTTCACAGACTTACCCACAAGGCACGAGAAGCCCCATTGCTCCACTTTCTTGCCAGCACTTGGTATCAGTCTTTAATTTTAGCTATCCTGGTGGGTGGGTGTTAGTGTTTCATTGCAGATTTCATTTTGTATTTCCCTGTTGACAGATGATGTTGAGTGTTTTTTTGTGTGTTTCTTGGCCATTAGTTTATCTTCCTCTATGAAGTTTCTAGTCAAACATTTTCCCCATTTTAAAGACAGCTCTTGATCTTTTTGTTATTGAGTTGTAAGCATCCTTTATATACTTTGTTTACAAGTTCCTTTGTTTACAAGTCAGATACACTTCCCAATTACTTTCTTCTAGTGCAGTCTTCCACAACCTCTGGGTTGTAGCCCCTTTGGGGGCATCAAACAACCCTTTACAGGGGTTGCATATCAGATTCCCTCAATATCAGACATTTTCATTACAATTCTACAATAACAAAATTATAGTTATGAAGTAGTCAAGGAAATAATTGTAGGATTTAGGGTCATTACAACATGAGGGACTGTATTAAAGGATCGAAGCATTAGGGAGGTTGAGAACCACTGATCCAGTGTGAGACCTTCCAGCATTTGGATGATGCTTTCTGATGCATACAGCTTTTTTTTATTTCAGGTCAGTGATATGGGTCAGTGGGTGGAGGCACTTGCTGTCAACCTGAATTTGATTCCTGAGACCTATATCCTGGAAGGAGAAGGCTGACTGACTCCTCCTGTCCTTTGACCTCCACACACTCACCATGACATGTGTACACACACACACACACACACACACACACACATACACACACACACAGTGTAAATAAATAAGATATAGTATTTTTAACAAAAATTTTTAACAAATTTTTAACAAAAATTTAACAAAAAATTTTTACTCCCATCCCCAGTAACTATGTGGGAGAAGGAGAAAACTGACTCTTGCAAGTTGTCCTCTGGCCTGTACATGTGTGCTGTGAATGGGACATTGTGTGTGTATGGGGGGGATACAAAATAAATACATGCAAAAATATTTTAAATGTTATTATAGCTGGGTGTAGTGGTGTATACCTGTATTCCCAGACCCTGAGAAGTAGAGGCAGAAGGATCAGGAGTTCAAGGCCAGTCTCAGCTATATAGTAAGTTTGAGACCAGTCTGGGCTACCTGAAATATTGTCTCAAACAATAAAATTTTAAAAAAACAAAATGTATAATTCCCAAGGTGAATGGAAATTTTATAAATCCTGTTCTCTGTCACCAGCCACAGAGCTGAATATCAAAACAGCAGCAGAAAAGACAGCTTGTCCAGGTTTGGGGAAGTGGGAACCAGAGAAGTGACAATTACTGGTAGTTACAGGAGATCTGAGAAGGTGGCAGGACGGTGGCCATGTGATGGGAGGGAGGCTGCACGAGTAGCGGGGTGGGACACCGACTTCCCTGTCCCCGACAGGTGCCTTTTCCTCACATTCTTCTGAAAAGAGAAGTCAGGACAATGCTGAGGTCTCGGGAGAGTCTTCCTGTCCCTAGGACCCTCCTAGATGTGCCATCTTCCCGGCCCTCGGGCAGAGCTGCCACCATGGGCTAGACCAAGTGGTAACTAACTTAGTGGTATAGGTGGTACAACTTGTCCTTGCCCATGACTGTCCACTTGTTGGCCAGGGGTTCGGGTGGGGGTGGGGTGGAAGCTGAAACCTGGGCTTTCCCGACTCCAAGCATCCAGCCCAGTCCTTGCTGCCTCGCGTCTCTCTCCCTTTGACTGCCACCAGCTCTATTTCTTCACGGTGCTCCACCCAGTTATGGAGTCAGCTGCCCACGTCTCTCAAAGCAGCCAAAATTTCCAGCTCATGCAATGAGGAAAGATTCTTAAGAAGCAGAAACCCGGACAAGCCCCGACCCCACCCGGCCTGGGTCCCATCACTGTCTGGATGAGAAGGGCGTGGGCGAGGAAGAGAGATGACAAAAGAGCTTTCCTGCCGGAAAGAAAAGGGTTGGGGGGGGTTGTGCCAACGGGGCCTCGGTCCCTCTATCCTCTCACACATTCAAAGTCCTTTAAAGAAAGGCACACTTGCCGGGGCGTTGGTGGTACACGCCTTTAGTCCCAGCACTCGGGAGGCAGAGGCAGGTGGATCTCTGAGTTCAAGGCCAGCCTGGTCTACAGAGCGAGTTCCAGGACAGCCTCCAAAAGCCACAGAGAAACCCTGTCTCAAAAAAGAAAAAAAAAAAAAAATGCCCACTTGCTGTATGTTAAGACTGTACTAGCCGCTGTAACAAATAGACCCTCAAGGTCACTGTGTCTGACCCTTGGTCACTACCAGCTCACCAGGCAGACGTCCTCCATGCAGTGACTCAGAGACCAGACTTTTCACATTTGACGCTCTAAGTCATTCCCTTCTCCTCCAGACCTGTGGGGATGAAAAGAGACTTCTGTGAGAGCCACACATGTCTCAAAAGCTTGGCCTAGGGGACTGGGGAGATGGCTCAGCAGGTAAAGGGCTTCTGTGCAAGCGTGTCGGCCTGAATTCAGATCTTCACACCCATGTAACAGTTGGGTGTGCCAAGGTGTGCCTGCCTGTAACCTCGGCACTTGGATGGTAGTGGCAGGGAGACAGGCAGACACCCAGAGCTCACTGACTGGTCTAGTGAAAGGGGTGGGTGAGCTCCAGGCTCAGTGAAGAGACTGTCTCAAAAGTAAGGTGGAGGGGACAGAGGAAGACACCAGATATCCACCTCTGGATGGCGCGCGCGTACACACACACACACACACACACACACACACACACACTCGCCCAGCCTAGAAGTGACACATGCTATTTCAGTTCAATTGGTAAGAACCTGTCCCAGGGCCAAAGAGTCCTGGAAATGTCCTGGCTTCCTAACGGTTACACCAGTGACAACTAATACCAGGAAGAGAGCTCAGATTTTGGTGCCCCTGCCACCGAGCATCATGGAGTCCTCACCAGTTCTATGGCCTCGCTTTGCAAACTGGAGGAACCTGTCTTGAAGGGAGGGGTTGTCTTTTACTCCACTGCCATCGTGGGTTCCCATGCCTTCTCCATCTTGGAAGTGGCTTGAACTGCTCTGCGGCCCCCTCCTCTTCACTCAGCCATTCAGGGGCCCACTTCTATTCATTTAAATCTGATGTCCTCCAAGAAGCTTTTCAGGGGACTTAATATCCACATGGAAGGCACCCATTCTTTGGGTGCTCTATTTGTCAAGAGTGGGGGCAATGTCTGGGGACACAGCCCCCATCTCACTGGTTCAGTGCAATTTCTTCAGCTGAGGATCAAGGTCTTTTCTCCAGCTATACCCAAGGTTCGTGTGTGCCCTGGGGATAGGAAGCAGACACATTTATTGGTTAGGAGTTAGAAGGGATTCTCTTAGAAGGAGGGGAAGAGACATGGCACCTTAGGCAGAAGCAGAAAGGGGGGCTGCTTATTTAAAGGGGGTCTCCTTCCTAACACATTTGTTGGTGCCATATGTAATCCCCTCCTTCTTGGTTCCTCCCCTCTTTCCTTCTCCCTCTTCTCTCTCCTGCTTCCCTTCTTCCTGGCAGGGACTGAAGCCAGGCCTCCTGTGAGGAAGGCCACTTCTCTTCTAGTGAGCCGCAGCCCATGTGGTTTTCAGTCACATGCTGAGAACATGGGCAACTTTCCCCACACTGAAGGCTAATTAGAAGTGTTTACTTGTTAATGGCTCCTTGTGGGCTGGGCATTAGAGAGAGCTGGTCTGGCTTTGCAGCAGCCTCATAAAGTAGGGACTTTTGCTTTATCTTCTCTTTGCACAGAAGAGAGAGGCACAGTAAATCTCCCAAGGATCACAACCCTTGACAGAAGAGTTTATCTTTAACTTTGGTATCCAGCACAAAGTCTCTGTTCCTTACGTGGCTCTGTTTTCTTTTCTTGAGGGACATCCAGTGATCAGGCACTAGAACCCCCCTGGGTGGCCCATGCGCTCCAACTTTCCTGTTTCCTCTATTCCTCTGCAACCACTGAGACCCACCCCCTTTTAAACAGTGGAGCCACCAGAAGGTGGCTTCCCTGATTCCTGGGTCACTGAGCAAGGGGCAGCTGACCTGGAGGTTTGCTAGCTGTCTACTGCCTTGCATGGATGAAAACAACACCTGTGTAAAGAGTTTATGTTGGTTTCCATGGAGATCTGGAGGTGAGTCATCACAGCACAAAAGAGCCAGGCAATTTGCTGACAGCTTGGTGGCCCTTCCCCCCACCCAATTTCATGTTTTGTAAATCCTGGGGTGCTCTAGACTGGAGATGGGGCTCAAGACAAATCCGAACTCAGGCTGCTGGAAACAGAGCTCAGCACACCAAGGGTCTTCCCAATCCATTGGCGGCTATAACTGCCAGGCCTGGCCTCCTGATTATCAAGATGGTGCTCTCCTCTGCCCTGTATCAAGTCAGTCCACATTGCTGGCTTCTCAAGCTGTTCCCCTTTAGCACAACCCCCTTATCTCTGTTCTCAGGGGACAGCATCCAGAAGAGAAACCTGGGATCTCCAGGCCCTGTATGCACTGGTTACATCCCCTGAAAACCACATTGTCTTTTACATATACCCTCAGGGATAGAGGGTACGTACAAGCCAGGCAGGCCCCGTGTTCTGACCCTGCTGACGGGGCAGCCACCCCTGAGTGTTCGAACTTTCCAAAATGTATCTGGGACTGAGGACAGAACTAAATGGTAGAGGGCTCACTTAGCATGTGCAAGGCCCTTGGGTTTAAACTTCAGCAGCAGAGAAAGGAGAGAGGGAAGTCAGAAGGGAGGGAGGGAAGGAGGGAGACAGGGAGGGAGACAGGGAGGGAGACAGGGAGGGAGACAGGGAGGGAGACAGGGAGGGGGAAAGAGAGGCCTGTCAGCAGGGAGCAAGTTAAGCTAACTAAGGTTTATCTATATGATGGACTAATACTGAGCTACAAAAGAATGCACTCTTATAATGCAGTAATAATGAGACAAATGGCCAGGAGTGGTGTCGCACACCTGTTAGACCCCCGAAAACTCAAGTATCCGGGGTCCCAGGCCACGTTCTCGGTCACCCCAATCACCTGGCGGATTCGAGAGCTTGCTGCAAACTGCACGAGGCTTTATTGTAATTTAACAAGCTAACCCATGTAATTTAACAACCCCAGCCATGGCGGAGGGCTAAAAAAGACAGCTCCTAGGGGCTCCCGAGCGATCTTATAGGGCAGCGTAAGGGGAGTGTCTAGGGGTACGCACAGGCTCACGATTGGTGTGCCTCCAGGCTTGGAGGGCTTGCCCTGTGTTGATTGGTCAACTGGTTGTTATGGCCCATAGGCCCTCCCAGGGTGGTTGCTATGCTCTCTACGTCATTGCTGTGCACTTGTCCGTAAAGCTCCCCCAGGGTCGTAAAGCATAGCGCCACCAGCTAACTTCTGATTGGCTCCTTGTCACGAGACAGGCATCTGACTTTCTTGTGACTTCATTTTGTTTGTTTCCTTGTCACGAGGCAGGCATCTGATCTCTAAGTGACTAAGGCAAGTTTATGGCAAGCACGTGTTCGGCTGTTATGGCTGCCGAAAGGGAAGCTGGTCCCTTCACACCTATTGTCCAGCACCTGGCAGGCTGATGCAGGAGGATGGTAGTCTTTGGCAACAGAGTGAGTTCTGGTCTAACCTAAGCTACTCAGTTAGATTTGTCTCAGACAAGACAAAAGAAAACAAAAACAGAAAATGAGGCAAAAGATGAAGTTTTAAAGTAGATGAAAGACTACACAGATATTGTAGTGGCTTGAATAAAAATGGCTTCCATAGACTCAGGGAGTGGCACTATTAGGAGGTGTGGCCTTGTTGGAGGAAGTGTGCTTCAGTCACTTCCTGCTGCTTGCTATTCTGAACGTAGAACTCGCAGCTCCTTTTCCAGCACCATGTGCCACCATGCTTCTGGACATGCTGACAATGGACTAACCCTCTGAACTGTAAGCCAGTAGTCCCAGTTAAATGTTTTTCTTTATAAGAGTTGCTGCGGTCATGGTGTCCCTTCATGGCGTAGACACCCTGAGACGCTATCTGAGGGAAATACAAGTATACACTCACAAAAGGACTCAAACATAAATGTCCCTAATAATAATGACCAATCTGGAAACATCAAAAAGTCTATCAACTGGTGGATAGGTAAGCAAAACATGATGAAACACTGCTTGACAGCAAAAAGGAACAATACAGAATAATTAGCAACTAAACATATGCAACAATATGGATATTTCCAAAAGTATGTCATTCCACATGCATGATTCCACTTATATGAAGATGTGGAAAGCTGAATCAGCGGTCAGCTGGGCCTGGGATGGGAGTGGGAATGAACCACGGTGAACCCAAAGGGACTTCATGGGACAATGGGAATACGCTCAAGCTGGACTGTGATAATAATTGCCTGGCTTTACAAATTTGTTAAAGATTGTTGAAGATCCTTACTGTGGATGACATCGCTCTTAATAGAGCTGTTGGTGGAGGGAGGGGAGAAGGAAGCCTGTTAAGCCAAGGTCTAGAAAGGTCTCCAAGTTGCTTTTTTTGGTTTTTCGAGACAGGGTTTCTCTGTGGCTTTGGAGGCTGTCCTGGAACTAGCTCTTGTAGACCAGGCTGGTCTCGAACTCACATAGATCCACCTGCCTCTGCCTCCCGAGTGCTGGGATTAAAGGCGTGCGCCACCATCGCCCGGCTGCAAGTTGCATTTTTAATAGACAAGGCAGAGCACAGTTCATGTGGCTGCTTGCATTTTTTAAAAGGGGAAAAAAGTGTTGGAAGACACCCTCTGCGTGGATTTGTATTTACGTCTCTGCACTAATACATATGGTTTCCCTGTCTGAGCCTAGATCTCTCTGGAAGGGTACACAAAGCTGGTGGCAGCAGGTGTTGGGGGCTGGGATTAGATGACTTGGAGGTGGAATGGGAGGGGTACTTTTCCTTTCCATGTTTTCTTTTAAATTGTAAATATGCACAAAACTTAACTCTTGAGTCATTGTTTTAATTACTTGTTGTTGAGACAGGGTCTCAATAATGTCGTGGCTGGGCTCAAATTCTTGGGCTCAAGTAGGCCTCCTTGCCTTTCAGCCTCCCAAGTGGCTTCACAAGATTACAGGCTGAGCCATGCCCATCTAGGCTTAGCCACTTTTAGGAGTACAGTTCAGTGGCATTAAATCAATGCATACTCTTTCTCCCTCCCTTCATGACCACCCACTCAAATCTATTACCACCATCCATTTTCAGAGGTCTTTTTGTCTTGCTGGATTGAAACGCTATACTTTAGATTATAATGCTGGCAAACAACCATTCTACCTTCTGCCTTTGTGAACAAGGACACCTGTGTACTTCATGTAAGTGAAATCACACTATTTTATTGTGTGTCTGTGGGAGTGTGTGTTTGACTTATTTAGCAGAACTCCAAGTTTCATTCATGTTATAACATTTCAAAAGACCTTCTTTAATTGTTGAATTCATTCTTAAAATTTATTTATCTGTGTATCTATCTGTGAGCCTGTGTGAGTTTATATGTACCATGTGCTTGCAGGTGTATGCGGTCCAGAAGGTGACTTCTGATCCCGTGGCATTACAGGCTGTTAGGAGTCCCATGTGGTTGCTGGGAGCCGAACCTGGGTCTTCCGTAAGAGCAATGGGTGATCTTTACTGCAGAGCCATCTCTCCTTTCCCACTGAATTAGCATTTAAGAGCATATGAAGTGATGTAGTCCACTATGGCATTCCCACCCATACCTACCACTGGACTGTATTCTTGCTCATCTCTACCTTGCCTTCCTATCTAGCTGTCTATTTATTTTAAAATAGGATCTCTGGATGCCAAGTCTGAAACCCACTCTGTAGCCCAGGCTGTCTTGGAACTTGCAGCAATCTTCTTGCTTCAGTCTCCCGAGTGCTGGCATTAAAGACACGTTTTTGTTTTTGTTTTCTGTTTCCAGTGTTAATGCTAACTGATAATGCTCATCTGTACACACTGCTTTCTGTTCACTCATTTACCCTGCTCTAGCACTCGAAGCTTCGTGAGCAGTGCTGATATGAAAACACGTGTGCAATTACCTCTGAGACTGTCGTTAGCTTACATTTTCCAAGAAAGAATGTATTGTGTAAATGACAAATTAAAATTAAGCCAGGTGCATGCCTATAATTCCAGCACTTGGGAGGTTGAGGCAAGAGGAACACTGGGTGTTCAAGGTTAGCCTGGTCTACAAAGTGAACTCATCTTAAACAAGAACAAAACATCGAAAGGGATCGCACAGAATACATAGAAACAATTCTTTTCCGTGGTCCATTTTGGAAGCTGCTGAAGAGCCTTTGGCTCAGAGGGGCGTTCCCCTAGGAGCCGGGGACTAGGCGGTGCGTCCCCCACCAGGCCCAGCAGCAGCCTAGCCCGGCTGCACCCGCTGGGGTCTCGCTGAGTCACGGCGCTGGCCTCGATCGTGCCCTCACCCGCCTCCCGCCGCCCACCCGCTGCCCTTGGCTCGCCGCCTTCCTGAGCTCCGCTCCGCCGCGGGCCGGTGACTCAGGGCGCAGGCAGCCCAGGAACGCCCGCTCACAGGATGGGGGTGCAGCTCGCCCCGCCACGTCCCGCCGGCTTGCAGCCGCTGCTTTTCCTCTCTGGAAACTCCTTAGCCGCGCCACCTCCGCTTGCACCCTGCCTCCTCCCGGGTACCGCTGCACCCACGCTGAATCCCCATCCAAAATCCATGAAGGAATTTAGGATGCTAAATCTTGAGACAAACTAATGGGGGGGGGCGGGGCCAGGATACGGTCCTCATTTCCCCACTTAATGAGAATGCTGGAAGTTTACAGCAGAGAATGACCTGTTCCAGATAAATACAGACTGCAGCAGCCAGCACCCCCTAAGGGGCTTTGTAATATACATCAGATGTGTGGCCACATCAGTCCCTGGGAAGTTCAGGGCCCACAGATGACTTCTCATCCTCTTCTCCCCACTCCCCCCACGCAGGGTCTTACTTTGTAGCCCCGGCTATCCTCCTGCCTCAAGAAGCTGAGAATTTTGTCTTGCTGTCCTTCTTTCCGTTTACGTCCATGTGCGTGTGTATACATGGGTATGTAGGCCAGAAGTTGTTCTTCAGGCTCTTATTTACTTTTAGTTTTGTTTTTGTTGTTGTTGTTTTGTTTTGTTTTTGAGACAGAGTCTATCTACCATTGAGACCTCCCCCCCCACTCCCCCCCCCTCGGGCTGGCGACCAGAAAGTCCCGGGTTCTTATCTCAGCGACCCTTTTGTCTCTGCCTTTCATGTTGAGGTGGGTCACTGAGCTTGACGTTTTCTATATGAATCCTTGGGATTGGACTCAGCTTTCATGCTTCCGTGCCAAGCACTTTACTGACTAAGCTATGTTTGCAACCCTAAAGTTTCTTTCTAAAATCTGGGGAGTTCTGAGTTTCAAAACACATCTGATCCTAGGATCTGGAATTAGAGACACTGAATCTGTTCATACCTGTTTCACAGAGCAGAGACAAGCCACAGGACTGCTACAGGATTCTGCCCCACCCTGTCGGGTCCTGTGGTGTGCGCGCCCGCGCCGCCCCCCCCCCCCCCCCCCCCCCCCCCGTCCTTCTTCTGGTCCCTCTCAAAGATTCTTCTTGTCTGGTGACATTTCCCTGTTGGATTCCAGAGCCCAGCCCTGTGCCTCTACATATGGGCACTCACTGGGAGGGAAGAGCCCGTCCAGTCCATCTTCAGGTAGCATGGACCTATAATGCCAGCAACTCAGGAGGCAGAGGCTTGAGAATCATGTGAACTGAAGGAGAGAGAGAGAGAGAGAGAGAGAGAGAGAGAGAGAGAGAGAGAGAGAGAGAGAGAGAGAGAGAGAGAGAGAGAGAGAGAGAGAAAGAGACATGTTAAAGACCAAATGACCAAACTTTATGATTTTTAAAGAGTTAGAGCCCAATTGTCCTGGGCCAATTTTTATCACTTGGAAAGCCATTCATTGCCTACCACTATATTTGACCTAAAAGCTTGTGACTATCAACCTTTAAAAAAATATATTCTTAGCCAAACACCAGCTTCCCTCATTCCAAAAGCTTAACAGTGTCCTCAGACACCGTCTGAAACTTATAGGGTGGTTCCCCACTGTGGACACACCTACCTGTGGTCCCTCCAAAGTTTTTGGTAAAAGCTTTAAGTTACTTTGTCTTATAATTAATAAAACCCCCCATATAACCACATCCACAGTGGACCATGTCCTTCTGGTCATGCATATTTAATGTGAGAACCAGCATATATTTTCTTTGAGATGAAAGATGTATTTTTGTGTTGATGGTTGCAAGTTCACAGTCTGCCTGGGTAACTTAGTGAGACTGTCTTAAAACAAACTTAAATAAAGGGCTGGAGCTGTGTGTTGTGGAATACACACTGTAACCCCAGCAGTTGGGAAGGCTGAGGCAGGAAGATCAGAAGTTCAAGGTGGTGCTCTGAAACACAGTGTCTTTGAGGCCAGCCTGGGACACATGAGACCCCAAGTGAAACCACACAAAATGGCTGAGGAAGGAGCTCGATTGCAGAACTCTTGCTAACCAAGCATTCACAAGCCCTCAGTTCAATTCCTAGTATTTTAAAAGGAACAAATAAAGCAGATCTTTTACTGCCCAGGGTCTAGCCTTACTTTAGTGGCCTTTTAGCTGCGTGACTTTGGGCAGGCTACTTATCCCTTCTGTGCCCCTGAACCCTCATTTGTAAAGGGGCATAATATAAATAGTAAATCCTCTCTCCTAGGGTTGATGTGAGTTAGAGAATGTAGCTTGGCCCAGCGCTGCCAAGTACAGCACTGGATTCCTATTGCAATAGGAATATATAATATATATGCAATATTTTTCAAGACAGGGTTTCTCTGTGGCTTTGGAGACTATCCTGGAACTCGCTCTTGTAGACCAGGCTGGTCTCGAACTCACAGAGATCCACCTGCCTCTGCCTCTGCCTCTGCCTCCCAAGTGCTGGGATTAAAGGCACACGCCATCACTGCCTGGCCTGTATATGGATATATTAAAAACAAAACAAACTTGTTTATTATTTAACTGAAATTCAAAATATTCTTGGTCAGTAATCAATACTGTCTTAATACTTGGGAATGTTTAATTGAGAATAGGATTTTTCTTTTCCTTTGATCTACACTAGTGGGTCAGCTCAATAATAAATACAGGGAATCTTTTGGGAAAAAAATTTAACCAGGCATTCTGAGTTTGTGTTTTGCTAAGCTTGGCAAATGTATCATGCCATGGAATTAATCCCTGGTATTTAATAGCTGGGGGTCTAGCTCCGTATTATTGGAGTCTGTACTCAGCATTGGGAAGCCTGGTTCAGTCCTTGGCACTCCCAATAATACTGATGATGATGTCAGATGGCAGGGGAAAGCTTTTGATCATAGCAGTTGTGTGTGTGTGTGTGTGTGTGTGTAGCCCTCTTCTCTAGTGCTTCAGGGTGTATATTCATCCATTCCTTTAACAGTTACGTATTGGCGTTGACACCTCCTACATACAAGTCACAATTGCCAGCCTTGGGGACACAGCAGTGCCCGTCTTCATTGGTACTTCCAGTCTAGCGAGGAAGCAGAATATAAAATTCCCACAATGATTAGTAACTATTATGACAAGCTCCGAGAAGTCCCAACTGCAGTGAGTGTATCATGGGCCCCACACTGGTCTGGGGGAAGGGGCTCACACTATCCCATTTGCTCCCTCCCACTGCTGTCCCCATCCTGAGAGTGGCATTGAGAGAGAAACCTTGGGAAGGATACACTGGCCCAAGGAAGGAGGGTGAGAGCTGGGAGGGAGGGGACCTCAGCAGTGGTACCTCCCGCTCGCTCTGTCAGTCTCAGCAAGCTGGGAATGGCAGGTGGAGGTAAGGAGAGGCGCTGAGGAGGGGGGTCTGCAGAACTGCAGGACAAGGTGTCCCTCCAGCCTGCAGCCTCTGGGTGGGGGACAGGGGGAAGGGGTTCAGAGTGACTGGTCTCTGGTGATGTCAGGGCAGGAGAGGACCATAAAGATCAACCAACCTGACATTTGATGGATGAGGAAACAGCACTGAAGAGGGAAGTGACTTCTGTAAGTCACACAGATCTTTCCTGGTGGTGTTGCCACCAAAACCCGGGCTGACTCCCTGCCAAGTCCCTGCTCACCAGGGGTGGAGCTAAAGGAGAAGGACCTGTGAGTGCCTGGCCTTTCTCCCTCCCCCGGGAATCCCCCACACAGGGTCACCAGAAAGCTCGTGGCCCCCTTTCTCCCACATCCCCGAGGCCAGTTTCACCAGGCCTTCTCTGCACCAGCATAGGGGAGTTACTGACAGCCAGCCTCAAAGAACAAATAAGACCCTGGAGGAGTTTCATTTCCTAGGGACTGAGGTGGCCATTAGCCTGACATTCCTGATGCTCATGAGCCAGCCCATCTGCCCAGGAGTGCTTCTCTCTTCTCAATGCCCCCCCTCCACCTGGGATTTGGGGTTCCCTGAGCATGTGGATCTCCAGTCTCCAGAGTCCCTCACCCAACCTATCCCTTTGTGTGTCAATGATGTATGTGTACTTAGCCTAGTGAGTGACCCCTGCCCCCATTTTTGTGCCTGCATCCAGTGCCTCAGAGGAGACCTCACCTCCCCTTTCTGACTGCAGAGATGCTGAGATCATGTATGGTCTTAGGGCCCATGGTGTGGGCTCTGTTGTGAGGCATTCTGAATTTGTCTTCCAATGTCACGTCCCTTTGCAGTGTTTCACAGCTCTGAAGCTCACCCCTGGGGCCTGGGGGAGATGACTCAGTCCATAAAGAGCTTGCTTGGCAAGCATGACTTAAGCATAAGCCTTAGAATCCATGTAGCATGCTTAGCCTGGTCCCATGTGTTTGTAATCCTAACTCCGAGGAGGCAAAGACAGGTATATCCCTTGTGCTTATGGGCCAACCAACTTAGCCAAAGTGGTGAGCTCCAGTACGAGAGACCCTGTCTCAAAGGGGTGGACATCATTCCTGAAGATGACACCTGAGGGTGTGTGCTGTGGCCTCTACCTGCATACATATACATATGCGCTCACATGCAAACCCATGCATGCATGCACAGCAAGCAATAATAAAAAAATTAATCTGGCCCACAAATGCTTTGGGCCTTCTTCCAGTGAGATGTTATGTCCATGTTTCCTCCCCTCAAAGCTGAGGTGACCATGTAGAAGATTCTGGGTCTCTATATCCTTCTCAATCAACTAGGGCCCTGGCTGTTTTTTCACCTTAGCCAGTGGGGGCAGTCTGCCAAAAATGGCCTCAACAGAAACAAGGCTAGGAGGGTGGGTCTTAAGGATAGTTCAGCACCCTTCAACTTCTTCAGGGACACTCAAAGCCATGAGTAACAGTCTGGCCAACAGTCAGAGCTAAGGGGCCTGCTGACAGCCATTATCAAATTCCAGGAGGCTGAGAACGAGCTGGACTTGTGGAGAAACTGCAAGCAGCTGCTAGGAGTGCTTGAGTTGCTTGGTTTAAGTTCAAATCACTTTTAGAGAAGCTGATTAATCTGTACCAAAGGCTTGCAACTTCTCACCCACCTTGGGAACCTCCAACCCGAACAGCATCCCTGGACATCTTCAACCTAGGACTGCTATACCTTTTTCTGCCATCACGGCCCCTGACTGGTCCTCTGTCTCAACCAGGTACAGAATCTGCCAAGAGCGGCCTCATCGTTGTCCAGCTCCATCACTAGGCCTCCTTCTGGAGTCCTTTGCAGTCCTTTCTGGGGGCCTTGTGTTTCTGAGGGTGCCTTCCCACCCACTAGCCCTGTGGAGGTTTCCCAGCAGCACCCCAAAGCAAACACTTCAGGGTTGGGACATGGCAGTGGGAGTCCTGCTGCTCTCCGTAGCTCCCAAGCCATTCCCCTTCTATCTCCTGGCCTGTATTTATTTATTTTCAGTGCTGGGATGGAAACCAGACCCTTGCTTATGCTAGGTAAGTGCTGTACCACTAGCTATACCTCAGTTCAAATTTTATTTTGAGACAGAATTTCACTGTGTAATTCAGGCTTTCCTCAAACTTGTAATCCTCCTGTCTCAGCCTCCCAAGGGCTGGTATCAGAGGTGTTCATCACCACACCTGTCAATCTCTGGCTCTTCTAAACACACCTTAGTCACCCATGTCCTGTGATGGCCTCCACTACGTTCCAGCCACTCCCACTCAGGACAGGGATTGGCTTTGGCTCCTAGCTCACTGCCTGGCATCCACCCCAACCTCATTCCCAATGACACACACACACACACACACACACACACACACACACACACACATCTGACCTTCTCACCTCTAATGAGTGCTTTTCCCACGCTCACCCTGGCCCTTGACGGTGCTGCCAATAGTTCTGCCCTGGGTTTCCAGCATCCTGTCTTCCCAGTTCACTTTCTCTGAATCAAACTTCTAGGCTCTACTCTCCCATGGGACATCATTTCCACGCTTCTTTGTTTATTTCCTGTGTTGGTATCTATGGTCTAGCATTCTAAATCACTCTCTGACTGAAACCCTGGCCATTGCTACTCACTTTATAGCCTCTTTGCCTGGTAGAGCCTTGCTCACTGAGCCAGCTGTCCATGGTCTTCCTACTTGTGCTGGAGAAATGGGAAGAGACTGAGACCAGACCGTGACAGCTGGCCTAGGTACCTGGCCTAAAATGTATAACGAATCTTTCTCTGTCCCTCCAGCCAGCGACCAGATAATGACATGGAGACTTCTTTATTCATTAAACTCAGCCTTAGCTTAACTTGTCCCCAATTAGCTCTTATAACTTAAATTAACCCGTTTATATTAACCTATGTTCTGCCTCGTTACTTTTTACCTCTCTTCCATCTTGTATCTCCTGTTTCCTCTCCATGTCTCCTGGTGTCTCTCTCTTTCCTCTTCCGAGACCTCTCTCTGTCCAGAAGTCCTGCCCATACTTCCTGTCTAGCTATTGATCATTTAGCTAGAGGCTAAATGAGGCAGGGCCCAGAAAGCCAAGACAACCTGGACTCGATGCCAGGGAGCCAATCATAGTGATTAAACCAATCACAGTGACATCTCTACACAGTGTAATCATGTATGTCACAACACAGATGTGCACCCAACACTGCCTTCGAGCTCTCTGGTTCCCTGGTGAGGATACCCACAGAGCAAGTCAGAGTGGAGAGAGACAGGAGGAAAAGATGCAGGTAGAACACAGAAGTGCCAGCCTGGGGGTGTGCGGGTGCTGCTTCCCGGGCTGACGGAGGCTCCGGCAGGCTGGACCTCACACTTCAATCTCTGCGTAGACTGGGACTAGAGATGCTAGAGGCTTTCACTGCTTCTTGCTCTGCCCTGTAGAGTCTTGTCGAATGTCAAACACAGGTGGCTGGATTTGTAGGCAGAGCAGTTGTCCAGCATGCAAGGGGTCCTGTGTCCCATCAACAGTATCACAAAAGCAAGCCCACAAAGACACAAAGCCGATCAGACTGCATCAGCTTGCTTCCATGTAACCTTTCAATGGGTTTACATTGCATCATAAAATGAATCCAAAAATCACTCGCTTTCCCCATTCTAGCTGCTGGCTTCCTCCTTTACCTTCCACTTCTTACTTGCTCCCCATAGAACGTTCCAGTTCTCCAGAAGTATCTGTCACCTTCCTTCTGTTCCCAGGAGCCAGTACACTGTCCAGATCCAGTTGTACTCACTGAACGCTTTGCCCATAGTCCTCCTTCCAGAGAGCCTGCTCTACCGTCTGCCCTGGTCACTCTCTGCCATATCCCCATTTGTTGTGTTACGCCTGCCTCAATGGCTTATGCATTTATCTTCCCCTCCCCTGGCGGGGGGGGGGGGGGGGGGGGGCGGGGGGGGGGGGGGGGGGGGGCGGTACTTGTTCTCCTGGCTCCTTGTTACATATTCAGCTCCTGACATATGTTGAATACTCAGTATATACTGTTTTAAATAAATGAGCACATGGCTTAGTAGACGGATGTCGGGAGCCGGTATGGCTCCTATCTGTTGCTGTAAGGATGAGGTTCCATACTGGATAGATGAGAAGTCCTCCTGCAAACAGTTAGTGTGCCTATGGAGGTGTTTCTGCATCAGCACCACACCTGGCCTGCCGTTCAGTAGGTGCTGAAAGCAGGATTTTAGAAGTGAAGTACCAGGTGAGGTAGGTGGGGTTTCCTAAGAGAAAGACAGAGGAGAGGCCTCCAATTGTGCTGCCTGCCTTTTGACTTGTGTCTCCAGAGCTTTGCGTCTCCAGGCTCTGTCTCTCCCCAGGGCTTGCCCAGCATACAAACAGACCCGAGCTCGATCCCCAGCACCAACCACACAAAAGCATCCTTGAACACTGGTCTCCAGGAAGCATTCCCTTGCACAGCTCTCTCCAACAGACTGTTGACCCTTGAATGTATGTGTCACTTTATGGGTGAGTTTCTGTCTGTGTCTGCCTCCGTGTGGGAGGCTGGGATTCCTGCCTCTCCCATCTTACTCTGTGAGCACCACAGTCACTTGTGATGCTTACCACGCCTGTGAATTGCTCTCCACAGGGGGAAAAGAAAAGTTGTGGCTAGGGCCAGTGTAGGAGACACAATGTAAATTGACAATGCTTGCATATTTGGGGACAACACGGGTTACAGGGGAAGGATGAAGGGACATAGAGTGTCGGGCTTGATCTTGGGGGCAGTTCAGGTTTACCCTATGGTATCTTCCTTCCTTCCTTCCTTCCTTCCTTCCTTCCTTCCTTCCTTCCTTCCTTCCGTGTTTTGCTTTGTAGACCAGGCTGGCCTCTAACTCACAGAGATCCTCCTGCCTCTGCCTCTTGAGTGCTGGGATTAAAGGAATGCACCTCCATGCTCGTTAAAAAATAATTTTACACTCATTCATTCATTCATTTATTCATTCATTCGTATTGTACATATATGTGTGTATAGACATGCCACGAGGTGTAAATGGAGGCCAGCCTGTGCTGGCTGGCTCTCACTTCTCTCTCTCCTTCCACCATGTGGGTCATGGGGATTGAACCCAGGTCCTCAGGCTGTAGCACACACCTTATCTACTAAGCCCATGATACTTTTCTTATTAACAAGGTCTGACTTGATTTACCAAAGTTCAAAGGCAATCATGGGCTCAGCCACATATGAAATTACACATGAACCAGTTTCTCCACTCGCCCCCCATAAAGCTTAAAACAAAGTGTCCGTCTGTTTCTCAGCAGTGAGCACCTGGCTTCTAGGGAAGCTGCTGGGCTATCAAGAGGTTAAGTAGAAGTCGGAGGCGCTGTTCTGGGTGACCTATCCATATAGGGCACTAAAGGGAACTGGGATGACTTGGGGGCATCCCTAACCTTTGAAGGTGATGTCATTGTGACAACTGCTAACCCACAACACATCTCGTGGTCCAGTTCTCCGTAGAGAGAGGCAAGGGCCCAAGGCAGGCTACACGTCTAGTGGTCTTAAGAGCACGCAAGAGGAACCATGCCCACCCCACCCCCGAAAGAAACCTGTGCAGATTTGCATCTTATGAAGACCTGCTTGTTCCTTCCGTCTGTAAATAGAGAAGTCTCAAGATCCTGCTCTTATCTGGGTGTGAGGACACATGTCTACAATCCCAGTGCTAGGAGGCAGAATGGAGGTCATTTCAAGTTTGAGGCTCACCTGGTCTATATAACCAGTGCCAGTCCAGGGCTACATGGTGAGACCCTGTGTCAAACAAAGCAAAACACACTCCCCAACACAAAACCAAATCTGAACCCAGACCATCAACCAAGCTGAACTTTCTCCATAACATGAGGCACGGCCCAGAAAGTCAGACAACTTGGACTCAACTCGGATCCCAGGTAGCCAGGCTCCCCAAATGTCTGTTATGAACATTCTACCAGCAATGCACTTAAGTGTGTCAAACTTTCATTTTCTTAATGTTTCTTTTAGTGGCTTACTTTTAAAAAACAAATACGTAAGTTTAAGTATTTTTTTCTTTTAATTATGTGGTGTGTGTGTGTGTGTGTGTGTGTGTAGGCCAGAGAACAACCTCAGGTGTCCCTACTAGGGATGTCTTACTGACTTTGGTCTGGGAATCCACAGACCCTCCTGTCTCTGCCTCCTTGGCGCCAGGAACATCAGCCTGTGCCACAATGCCTGATGCTCGGGCAGCAGTTTACTAACGGCTGTCTCCCATTGCCCCAGTCTTCCTGCTTTTGAAGGCCACATAAATGGGAGCATGGAGACTGCTCTCTCTGCTCATCTTTGCCCTGGCCTCTTTTGCTGGATCACACTTTTGCACTGTCCTCCATCCTGTGGACATGCCACAAAGCACACTGCCATTCTGTCACCGATGGCAAACAGACTGCTCTCAGCTTGCAGCTCTTATGAACCAAGCCATTGTGAAAATCTTTGTTCTTAACTTTCAGTGAGCACTCTATGCTCATTTCAGAAATGCCTGGCTTTCTTCATGTGCTCAGCTTCAGTAGATGAAGCCAGTTTCTTAAAGTGGGCGCACACACACACACACACACACACACACACACACACACACACACCTTGCTTCCAGCCAGGAGAGTTCTAACTGACTCACATCCTTGCCAACACATGACATCCAGCCTTTGATCCCAGTTCTGGTGGGCAATGGGACCATGTGGTGCTTTGAATTTGCATTTCTCTAATGCCTAATGAAATCAACACATTTGTTAGCCTCTACACATCCTCTTTTGTGAAGCATTGAGTTGTTTTCCAATTTTTCTATGTGATTGTCAACAATTTCTATTGACTTTTCCTGCAGGTGAGCAAGAGTTTATTATGTATTCCCGATATTCATATTTTGATGGATATGATCTATGATATAATCTCACTAGTGAATGCTGCTTTATGGGACGATATTACTGTAACTAGAACCCCTGTAGCATATATCACAGGTGCTGTAAAATAAATGGAATCAAACCAGAATATGATATCTTTACATTCTAATTAGCTAGCTTGCTAGTGGGCAGCTATGGCCAGCATCCTGGTCCATGTTTAAAAAAAAAAAGAATGCAGCAAGTGAAAAGAGGGTCAAGGAGATGGCTCAGTGTCCTTGTCCTGAAAGTGTGAAGACAGAGTTTGAATCCCAGGACCAATGTAAAACCCAAGCAGATGTGGTAGCCCCTGTAATCCCAGTCAGTGTTCAGGAGGCAGGGACATGGAATCCCTGGGACAAGCTGGCTAGCCAGGCTGACCAAATCAGTGGATGCTGGGTTCAATTGCAAGAGTAAGTGAAGTGAACTATTGAGGAAGACAGCCAAGATGAGCCTCATCAACTCCAGGTCTTCATGTATGCACGCACCCACATGGGCACAGACACAGATACTCACACGCATGCAAGCAAACACATGCACAAATATACACACCAGAAAAGTAGTAAAAATAAATATCAGAAAAGAATAAAAAGAGGATGCTAAGGACCTCTGGGAACTTTCTCCTTGATGTAATGGGAAAGTTTCACAGAGTTAAAAAAGAAACAACTTCCCAATCTTGCCACCCCATGCTCATTGTCATCCTACTGTGCCCCTGTCACTCTGAATAGGAGGTCCCGGCACCTTCTGTAGTCATGCACTTGGCGCCATCCTCCTCTCGAGTCTTGCACACTGCTGGACCAGCACTTGAGCCGTGGATGCAAAGAGGGTCTTCAGGAGAGGTTGGCAGAACGAGATGGGCAATTGAGAAAAATGGTTTGGCTGACATCAGGTGGGGCAGGAAGGCAGGATGGTGGCATGGTGGCATGGTGGTAGGCAGGGGATCCAGAGGTAGAAGGGACCTGGGGTTGGAGTTGGGGCTGAATACACAGGAGGGTCTGTGAGATGTGCTGACGGGTTGGTGTGGAAGAAGGCAGAGAACCTTCTGGGCTGGCTCTGGGGGTTCTGAGCTGGAAGATGGAGGAGAGAGAAGACGGGAGTAACATGCTGAGGGGAGGGAGATGATGGAGTCAGCCTCAGGGAGAGTCATCATTCATTCATTCATTCATTCATTCATTCATGTGTAGGTGGTAGGGCACAGCATCGTGTCAGACAGACAAAAATTCTTGTTCTGATGGACTTTCAGGTTTATGGAGAAGACAGACTGGGAAAGGCAAAGACTTCAATCAAAGAGGAATCAGTGGGAGTCTGGGCAGTCTTTCCTGAGAAGATGTGAACACATGTCTGCTTACCCTGCATAGGGCACCAACGACAGACCAAAGAGACTGGACCCCACAGCTCTGAGTCTTGTTTGTGGCGACAATTATGGGAGTTGCTTTTCAGGCGGATGGGTGCCTCTGGCACTGACTGCTTCATGAAAAAGCCCACTGCAGTCTGGGTCAGATGACTCATCTAAGGGACATTTCGAGCTCCCTATGTTACTTGCAACTTTCTTGTGTGTTCTTATACCTTTCTTAAGAATTTCCTGAGGCTCCTTGTCTCCCTCACTCCACAAGCAGGGACTGGTCTGCAGCTGGTGGAGCACACCAGGGGGTTAGTTGTGCGTGGATGCAGGGATCTGGGCTGCAGGGTTGCTTGAGACCTGGCAACTGAAGGGGTGTAGATACAGCTCTGTGGGTGGGTGAGCCTGCCCAGGGATGGGCTGAATGAGCCTAGGAGTTAGAAGGCTAGTGGCTAGCACTCATGGGAGACAAGGAGGAGACCCTAAAAGACAGCCACTCCTTGGAGTGCACGGTTGTGGTGAGAGCAGCTGACTAGAAGGGAGTTTCTAAGATTTGATAACTGATACTTTAACCAAACTTTAACCCCTTGTGTGGGCCAGGTTCTGAGCAACTAGAGATGAACCAGAAGTCTCTTAGTGAGACAGATGTGTGAATTACAGTTAAGCAAAATGTATGAGCAAGATTCTAGTACTGTGATCTCTGACTGACATACACACAACACCCACTGAGATTACAGAGGACAGGGACTTACATTTGTGTAGGATGTGTGTGTGTGTCCATGTATGTGTGCATAGGAGGGTGCTTTTGTGTGTATGCACCCCTGTGGAGGCCAGAGGTTGATATTAGGTGCCTGTCACTCGGCCACATGCCGCCAGCTGGACAGGGACCGGAGGCTCTGAATTCCAGGGCCCTGGGCATGTTGAGAGCAAGGCTTTCTTCTAAGCCTTTAGTGTCATCTGGCGCCAGCACAACACAGCAAAGCTCATTAAGATCCTTCACCCAGGCCAGATGCACACTTTGAGAGCGTGTTAGAGAAAGCTCAGAGTGAAGGGACCTCTGGAGAAAATGGTGCCCCGGGTGTTGTGAGAAACGGAGATCCAGTACCAGGATAAAAAGAGGGGAATGCAGGCCACCGGGGACTTGGGGGATCTAGAGCTATGAATAAGAGCGGGTAGAAGGAGGTGCTTGGGCAGCAGGAGCAATGCCCACCCCGTCTAAGGAACCTGCCCCCTTCCTTCTCCCTTTCCAAGCTTTGTCTCTTCTTGGGGCCGGGACACAGTGGTCAGGACAGATGGGTTCTCTTGGCTCACACAAGTTCCAAAGCTCCCCTTCTAGCTCTGGGTGTGTCTATGTAATTGCCCCTCGGGTAAAAGGCCTCTCGTGCCCCCTGCTGGCAGCTCCGCTCCAAGCATCCCTGATGAAAAGCTAAGCTAATTTCCCCGCGGCGGGATGAAGGTGTAGGGGTGTGAGATGAGCGTGGGGGGTGGGGTGGGGGTGGGGTTGGAACACTGGCCTGCCAGGGTGGAGGACTGGTTTATAGTATTCATCAGGACCCCGGAGGCTTCCCTTCATCCTTTACCCCCAGCGGAGAGTGGCTCTTCAAAAACCTAACAGAGGCAGACCTGGGAGCCACTCTTTCAGGTCTGAAGGGTTTGTGCCTAATGCAGAAAGCCAAGTCTCCAAAGGGTACGCGCTGTGTGAGTGTGAGTCCCCCCACACAACAGCTTCAAAGGAAGAAATGAAAAATGGTTCGAGAAGAGGCCTAGTGATAAAGAATCAGGGAGATGTGATATTAAAGAGACAGTTGGCTCCGCGGCTAAGAGCACTTTGTTGTTCAAGTCCCAATGAGCTCGTGGCTGTCTGTAACTCCAGTCGCTGATGAGCTCTTCTGGTATTGGTGGGTACCAGTCGTGCACATACACACATGCAGAGGAAAACACTCATACACATAAAATGATAAAAATAAATAAACAAATAAATCCCATTCCTGCTTCCCCAACTTTAGTGCTGGCGACCCACCAAATGATTCCGAGCAAACTGTCTCCAGGCCAAGAATGGAGGGTTTTTGTTTGTTTGTTTGTTTGTTTTTTCAGGGTCTCACCCTGGAGCTCTGGCTGGCCTAGAACTCACTGTGTAGACCAGGCTTTCCTCAAACTCACAGAGACCCACTGGCTTCTGCCTCCCAAGTGCTGGGGTTAAAGGTGTGTGCCATCATATCTGGCAGAAATAGGGCTTTTGAAGTGATGGAACCATTCTGTTTTGATTGCGGTGGTGGCTGTGAGAATCTGTGCTTGTGACAAAATAAGGAATTCTGCACAAAGACACACAATACAGAGTGTGCAAAGGTCAGTGGAGTGGGTGAGTTCCGTAGCACAGCTGGGTGTGAGGAGCTCATCACCTGCCAGGATTAGTGGCACAGCGGTTATGTAAGATGCCATGGTGTGGGCTGGGGGCTAACAACGACCTGAAACTTCAGCACCAGGAGATTCAGTGCTCTCTTCTGGCCTCAGCACATACCTGCACACATGTGACACACGCGCGTGCGCGCGCGCGGGAGTACACACACACACACACACACACACACACACACACACTGAGACACACAAACACATACATAAAAATAAGTACATCTTGGAGGAAGGGGGGAAGAGAAGAAAGATAAAGGATCTTGGTGGGCTTCGATCTCTTGGGGTGTGGAAGCAGGGGATCATAAATTCAAGGTTATCTCTGGCTGTATAGCAAGTGGCATGCCAGTCTGGCCACATGTCACTGTGTCTCAACACTGAACAAACCACACCACACAGGAGACTGGGCCATACAGTCCTTCTGATCATCGCCACCTAGTGGTATATGTGAGTAGTGCAGGATGCAGCCTGCTCTGTTGGCTGGTCTCCAACTCCACCCCTTCTTAGTAGTAATAATAATGAAAAACCTACAGGCTCCCTCACCCCTCCAGGCGTTCCTCAAAGGCCTGCAGCAGCAGAACACCCAGGCTTGAAAGGCCCAGGAAAGCAGGCTCTCTCCCAGCCCTCTTGCCAATCCAAGGAGTCCCCTCCTGCTTAGGTCTGACAAGGGCACTCTGCTACCTCAGATGCTCTTGCTTCGAAGCATAAAGAGTCCCTTTCCCGAGGCACTGCTGAGCTGAGGTCTTGGAAAAAGACTGCTTCAGAGCCCTGGGATCAAAAAACTTATGGCCCAACACGATACTCCTGTGGCTGTCCCTCTTCAGGACCCGGGCTAGCCTAGAAACCGGGAACAAAGACTAATGTGACTCTGCAAATGTCCCTGCACTAGGTTCAGGGCTTGGCAAGCTGCACACATCTCACTGTGTATCCATGCGTGTGGAGGTCAAAGGGAAACTTTGGGACTCAGTTTCCTCCTCAAGTGGTCAGGCTTGGCAGCAGACGCCTTTACCTGCCGAGCTATCTCACCAGACTCAAGTCTGAGGTTTTAAATTGGGACAATAAGATAACCAGGGCAATGTTGTAAACTGAGGCTGAATTGGGGTGGGGGCTGGGGGCATGGGATGGGAAAGAGACTAAGTGGTAGTCCAGGCAGATGCTAGAGTCCTAGACCAGGCTTGTGGGGGGAAGAGGGTTGACAAGGTAGAGGCCAGGGATGCAGAGACAGGCTGGAGGGAGCCTGCATCTTCCCAAGCTTTAGCTTGACCATCTGGGAGATAACAGAGCTGTTTCCTGAGATAGAGAAACCCTGGAGGTGGACTTGGTTTGGGGGAAATCGTGAATCCAGTCTTAGGCAGAGGTCTGTCACAGGGCAGACATCACTGATGCTGTGTCATTCTGGGAAGGAAGACAGGGAGGAGGGTCTGGTCTGAGAATTCCTTCTTCCCATGCTTGGCCAGAGGTGGGAGGAACATGAGGGGGCTGAGGATGTTTCCAGGAAGGCCTGTATGACACGGGGTGCCAGTGAACACGGAGACCCAAAGTGTCTACCAGCATGGGTGTGTTGCTGAATCCACAGGAGATTCTGGGGTCTGTGTCATGCAGGGGTTGAGGACAGCCAACATAAACGCATCTTAACGTCTAGCTGTACGTATATACACTTGCTGTCAAGCCTGACAACCCTAGTACCCAAATGGTAAAGGAAAGGATCACATTTTGCAAGTTGTCTGTCCTTTGACGTCCACACACAGATGCCATGGCATGCATGCACCTTCAACACACAGACACAACATGCAAACAAAGAAATGTAATAATTTAAAAAGTCTGGCTGTGAGAGAGACAGAATGGCTGCGCTTGCAGAGAGGTGTATGGTGGAGGGCTTCCAAGGGAAACAGTGATTGGAGCGTGTTCCCATGGGGCCAGGTGGGATAGCAGTGGATACTATGGGTTCCACAACCTCCTCTCGTCCATGACTGAAGCACCAAGCCCCCAGTGGGTGGAGGCCCAGTGACCAACAGCTCTCATCTGAGCCCCTCTGGGATATGCCCAGGAGATGCTCTGCCCAGATCTGTGCCATCCATCAGGCACTTGGGTGGCTAATAGGCAGCCGGCAAGTCTGGCTTCTTGCCACAGGAGGGACAATTCGTAAACTCACCCGGAGCTTCTGGGAGCTTGGCTGAGTCTGGGCACAGGGCCCAGTCTTTCTGCCTTCATCCCTTTGTAGGTGTGGGTTCTGAGTACACCAAGCTGGCCTCCTTGATTCTATTTCCTGGTGACTTCAACCCAGCACAGCAGCTCAATATGGGAGAAGCATGGAGAACCGTGGGTCCTCTTAGGAAAAAAAGGCAACTCCTCGTCATCCTCAGGGATGTGGAGAGCTAGGGAGAGGAGGGGCTGTTCTGGGGCTCACTGTGGTTTCTATCATTGCTGGGGGCAGAGGCCAGCCATCTGTGAGAGGGAGGGAGGGAGACTGGGGCTGTGAGGAGAGCTAGTGTGGGAGAAAGGTCAGCACTCCCCTCCCCATGGCTGCTGATAAAGATGGTGGGGGAGATCTCTCCCCAACAAGTAAGATGCAGGGATTTGCTGTGGGACCCAGCAACAGCTGTGTACCCAAGAGGATAGAAACACACACGTCGTAGAATGGAATGGAAGCTCACAGCCTCTCCAATTCACACTGAAGATGAGCCCAGTGTGACATGTTTGGAGATGAAGCCTTGGGGAGTCACTCAGTTAAAGTAAGGTCAGGATTAATGTTGGGATCGGAGTCCTTGTGTGGAGGGACCCAACCTTTAGCCTCACTGCCATGTGAGAACACAGCAAGGAAGTTCTGCCTGCAAGCTAAAGATGGCCTCGCTCCACCCCACCGTGGCCACAGACACATTGTACAGCAGTATCTGTCATGACAGCCTCAAGAAGATTTAACTCAAAGATCCTTCAGTTGGAAAATAATTAAGAAAAGATGGCAGCTGGGCCTGGCGATGCACTGTCAGCACTTGGGAGGCAGAGGCAGGATGATCAGGAGTTCAAGGCCAGCCTTAGCTGTATAGTGGCGGGGGTTGCAGATAGGCTAAAGATCAGTGCAGCTCTCCACATACCACAATGCTCAATGTGGACTTGGAAGAGCCCAGCAAGTTTAAGCTAGGAGCTAGCCTTCCAGGCCATTATCAAAGAACATTTGCCAAAGTAGGAGAATAAACGTATTTTATTTAACAGCTGTTAGGTTGCCTTAAGACTTTTAATATGAAGATGTATGTTAAGAGGCCTCCAATTGTTCTCTTCTTGGCCCTGCTACCATCGGGGCTGGGCTTGCATCAGCCTTACTCAATGGGCCCAAAGCTCCAGGTAGCATGCGTAGAACCCCTGTCCCAGGAGCACAGTGCCTGGCCCAGAGGGTCCACAATAAATATTAACTGCAAGAAACCAAAGGGGTAATCCGAGTAAAAGGCTGGTGTGGTGGGAATGCTCAATAAATATTAGCTATTATTGTTTGTTGAGTCAGTAAGGGTGGGTGGAGCTAGGGGCTCCGACATAAGCTGAGGTGGTGTGTGCACAAGGAAGGGGCAGCTGACACATGCTCAACTCTCTGCCTGAGGCTGTGACCTCTCCAACCGGCCTCTCCCAGCTCCGCATGGCAAGTGGGTACCATGTAGGCACCCAGCCAGGGTTCAGGCAGGGGCTGGAGGCTTCTGTTTATGCTGTTCTTCCCAGAACAGCTGTGGAAGCTTCCCTGCTGCCTTAAGGGACTCTCTAGCTTGTGTAGGGTACTCCAGCATATTTATTCTGCTCAGCCCATAGGCTGTGCTACTGTGGGGGTTAGGAATCACTTTCTCCTCTGGAAGCTGGGCTTGCTGTCGGGAGAACCTTTGCAGGGGTTCAGATCACCTTTGGAACTTGAAGTTACTTGACTTCTGCTAGTCCCAGCTCCCTGGAACCAGGTGCAGTGAGTGTGGGGTAAGCATGGGGTGGGCACGAAGAACCCTTGTAGAGAACAGGTGTGGCCCAGGGAGAGAGAAAAGCACAGGAAAAGTTCGCCGGTGGCCTGCAACAGGGTGGCACAGGACCATAAGACTGAAGCAAGCAGTCAGTGGCCTGGGCTGGCCGCCAGGGTAAGTCCTCCCCTGGCAGCAGGGACAATGTCAGTAGCTGCTTCATGACCAGAGCAGGACCTCCTGCATAGCACGGGGCCTACAGGGTCTCCACCAAGGCCTGGCCAGGTGTAGGTCTGTGGAAGCCAGAATGCCTTCATCCAATCCCTCCTCCTAGCTAGGGCCCTCCGAAGCACTCGTCCTCCAGGCACAGTCTCGCATTCACACAACAGGGGGCGCTGTAATGAAGAAAGGGCCCTAATAAACCCTGAATGGGGCTACAATAGGGAGAAATCACATTTCATGAACTGGGGTCATGAAGCGGGGTCATCGTACCCTCCGAATCGAGGGGTGCAGAAGTCACAGTGCAGCGGGGTGGGAGGTGGAGAGCCTCAGAGGAGGTCCAGCCTCATGGCCTCAGCCACCCAGGGTCCACAGTCAGTGAGGCGGGAAGATGTCCGTGCACTGCTGTAGGATGAGCTCCACCACCTGGTTCTGGAACACCATGGTCATGGGCATGCTGGCTTCCTCCATCTCAGGCCGCAGCAGCGTGGGCCCGAACACTATGGCCACATTCTGCACGGTCATACGGTTCTGCTCGCCGTGCTCGATCACCCTGCAGTGGGAATGGTGGGATCAACAGCTCAGAGGTTGGGGAGTCTCTCGACGGGGGGCGCCAGTCCTCCCTTTCTGCCCTGGGAAGTCCAGCTCGCTCACCGGCACAGGTGCTGGATGAGCAGTCGCAGTGTGTCGTGGTTGGGGGCGGGCAGCGTGCGCACCAGGTCACGCACACAGCGGCTGCGCTGGGCAGGGTCGTGCAGCTCTGGTGAGGGAAGGGACCAGAGACGGTCTGCTGGCTGTGACAAAAGCGGGCCAACCTCCCCACCCCTCCTCTCCCTAAGGCGCTCACTGATGGCCGCTATGAACTGGTGGAAGTGCGAGAAGGGGAAGAGGGGTTCTGGCAGCTCTCGGAAGAAGAGTTTCAGGGCGCCGGTAATCACGTGGACGTCCTCCCAGCGCCCATCGTCCAGGTCCAGGCGCTCATCTGCGGTGGGGAGAGGGCCGGGGGCAGTGAGAGGCCGTCTGCATCCACTTGTGCTTTCAGCTCCCAGGGTAGGGACTGGGGAAGAACCTCACCGTGATCCACCTTATAGCGCAGCTTCTGGATGGTGGCCAGGTTCCCACTGATGCGGTACAGCCCGTCCATGTCCAGCCCTGCGAGAAAGGTAATGGCTGACCCTGGAAGGGCTAGGGACACTAGCAATTTCCACTCAGGATCGCCTCATCTCCTTCTCCTTGACCCTGTGCTCCCCCAGGGGTCTCCACTCTTTCGCTCCTAGTAGCGGACCATGAAACGCTGCCCTGTCTGCGCATGTGTACATACCCCGGGCCTCGACGGTGCGGATGCATTGCTGCACGAAGCGTGGCACAGGGCTCCTCTCGCGCTCACACAGTTCAGCCAGTGCACATCCAAACACCTGGTCTGGGGGAAGAGATTGGTCAGCGCCGCCCAGCCCCGTGCCACCTTAGCTCGGGTCCCGGAGAGTTGCAGGTACCTTTGATGTAGCCCTTGTCCCGCAGAGACTGCAGAGTGGGTCGTCTCTGTAGGAATTTGCGGAGCTTGTGCCGAACCCTGCTCAAGTCGCTTTCCAGGCCTCCGGGACTCAGCGAGGGTGAGGCTGCCACAGACCGAACCAGTGAGTAGGTGGCAGGGGTAGATATGGGCTCTAGACCTTAGCCAGGACATCATTTCCCACCCCGCAGAGGGGACTCTTTGGTCGGCTCCCCACCTGACCCTCTGCACACCTGCACTCTGCCGCACGTCCTCCTCCCTCCAGCTGCCGAGGCGCTCACTGGACCCGAAGTCAACTCTGCCGGGCTCACCTTCCTCCCTCTGGAGCATGTCTGCAGACTGGAATCACACAGCCTCAGAGAAGCAAGGCCTGGGGCCTGCTGGGGCCTGTCCCAAGCAGTTCCGGCCTGAAGCCATCCCAGGAAGAGCCTGCTTTCTCTTAGCAGGTGAATGTCCAGGAATCAACTTTCACCTTCCCTGGCTGCAGAGTCCTCCAGGAGCTGCTAGCCAGGTCATTCTACCCTCGCCCTTTCTTTCTTATCCAGGCCATCTTCAGCAGCCTCCCGGGTCCTGGCCTCCCCACTTCTTCACTCAGCTCTCTACATCCCACTTGGTTGGCTCCGGCTCATGAACTTGCAGACCACTGCTGATCACACCAACATTGCCTCCTGCCTGAGTCTGGATTCCCATTTTCATCAATACCCAGTGCCAACTCATATGGAAATTAATACTAGCAGGCCACTGCCAGATAAATAGCTGTTGACTTTGTCACAGCTGGGGATCAGACTCAGGACCATTTGCATTCTAGACACGTCCTCTGTCACTAAGCTATGTATCCACAATGCATGACCAGGGCTATGGCTCAATGGCAAAGCACAAGGCCTTTGAATTCAATCTGTTGATCCTTTATCTTATAGTTTTAGCTGGTCTCAGGGTAGTTATGTACTTTCCCACCTGCCACCCCTATAATGGGTTGTGCCTGGGCCCTCCTATAGAGTCCTGCAAGACCAGCCCCAGAGCCGGAGTCATGTGTTTCTGGAAAGCCCCTCTCATCAGCAGATGGGCTGCTCTTGCAGGGGACAGCACTATGCATAGCTGTGCATAGCCGAGGGGCCTGCATACAAGGACCTCGTCCCTCTCTGTCAGCCCCGGAGGTCCCAGGCTCTGCCTACCAGCTCCTCGATGCCTTCGGCAATGGCCTTGTGCCAGGTGCTGATGATGGCTTCTGAGTCATGCTGAATCAGATACTCCGAGCCATCTCGGCTTCGCAGCTGGAGGGACACAAGTCAGTCAGTTACCCCTGTTCCCTGGGTCTCTCTTGGGAGTAGGCTTGAAGTGTGTGTGTGTGTGTGTGTGTGTGTGTGCTTTTGTGTGTACTGAGGGGGAAGTGACCTCTCCCTTCCCAAGAGACTCAGAACCTAATAAAGCAAAGGCCTCAAGCCAGGTCCAAGTCTTCCTCTTTAATGCTGTGGGTGACAGTGTTTGTGATAGGTGGACTGAGGTCCAGGACATTTGAGTCACTTTCTTCATGGGCACACAGCCAGTAGTAACAGGTCAGAGCTCTGTGGGGCTCATTGCTGCCCAACACAGAATACAGCAGGCCTCCCCCAGGGCATTGGCAAAGTGATAGAAAATTCCTGTGGGAGCCTAGCTGCTGGAAAAACAATGAAAAAAAATTACAGGGAGTAGTAGAAATATATCATGGTTGGCCCATGGCTGACTCCAAACACAGAGTTGTCCTGCTGCAATGCCTAGCTTTGTAAGTACATGCCAATCTAGCCCTTTGGTCCAGAGAGAGGCAGACAGCAGAACCTGGCTTAGGCAGTAGGGAACAACTTCTAGAGTCAGAGAAAATTGCCTTTTGGTTGTCCTCCTATTACAACTAAGAGATGGTTTAATCAGCTGTTAAGTGCACTTGTTGCTCTTGCAGAGGACCTGGGTTCAGTTCCCAGTACCCACAAGGTGGCTCACAACCATCCAGTTCCAACTCCTGTTTCAGGGAAATCTAATGCCCTTTTCTGACTTCTGTGGTGTAACACACACACACACACACACACACACACACACACACACACACACATACACACACACCAATAAATCTAGAACTGAATATAGCATGGAGAACCATCAGAAGTGAAACATCCAAGCCCCCTGCAGAATGTCTGGACTGTGCTTCATAACAGCCATCTGAAGCAGACCTAAGGTCCTGGCTCAGCTTCCATGGAGCTCTTTGGAAGGGCACATATCCTTCTAGACCCCAGGGTCATAGAGCTACACATTAGAAAGTTCTCTAAGAAGCAAGGGCAAGGAAACAGCTTAGATTCCCTGGAACCCAGAGAGGATCCCCTCCTTAACAGTAAAGATCTATGTAACCCATTGCTGTCCCTTTCCTCTTTTGCTGCCTGGAGAAATAGATCTAAGTTTCTCTGGGTGACGACCAGAGCACCTCCTATTCACTGTCTGCCCCTAGTTCCTCCCGTCATGGACCATCCCTAACTTGTTTTGCCAGCTAATAGCTACTTTTCTCTGTGTGCATGGTTTTTGCCAGTTCACTGCCTGTGGGGTGTATTCATGCATGCATGTGTATATGTGTGTGCACGCATGTGTGTGCAGGTGAAAGCTAGAGTTCAACCTCAGGTGTTATTCCTCAGGCACTGTCTACTTTGTTTTCATTTTTGACAGGGTCTCTTGCTGACTCAGAATCCAACATTTAGATTAGATTGGCTGGCCAGCAAGCCCCAGAGAATCCATGTTTGTTTTCCCTGCCCTGTGATTACAAGCATGGGCCACCACACTAGGCTTCTTCATGGGTTCTGGGATTGAACTCAGCCTCTCTGTGTGACAAGTACTTCACTGACTAAGCCACTCTCCAGCCCCTCACTGCCTGTGTTTTCTAGGGTTCTGCCTTACAGATCTTAGGACCTGTCAAAACCCCAAACAGTGAAGGGCGTGGTACTATGAAGCCTTGCCAGAATCTTCTTGTTCTTCCTGTTGGGGGAACCTGACCAGCTTGTCACTGGTTTATTCACTGGGGACCCAATAAAAACTGGAATCTGAGCTCTGGCCAGGAAAAGCTGGTCTCTGGTTCAGCCCATCACAGTGAGTGGCTAGAGTCAGAGTCCCCATCTCAGGCTGGTGACTGAGAGAAGGAGGCCACTCAGGGATGACAGTGTCATCTCCCATAGACCTGCTTCTTACCCTCAGTGGTAAGGGCTACTTAACTCTGTACCCAGAGTGGGGACTTCCAACAGCATGATGACAGAAACACTGGACCCAAGATGGGGCAGCCTTGACTCTGAGTCTTGAGAACTCGATTGGCCCTACTTTCTGCAGGTCCCCATCCCTGGGCTCTGTCTGCAGTGGGATTCAAAGGCCCTTTCCCCATCCCACGACTCACCTCTAACACATTCTTCTTGCTGGATTTGTCTTTGGGGGCCCAAGAGAGAGAGGCCCCCTTCAATTCAACTGTGTACTCAGGGGTTGAGAGCTTGGAAGGCTGCCTCTGTGGGGAAGGAAGGAATGGAGGATTCCAAATTACAAGGGGCATCCACCTAGATGGGCTTGCTAAAATGCCTGGCTCTGACATACCAGGCTCCTGGTACATCCTGGTCTTAGACACTGTTGGCCTGCTGGAAGGAAGGAGCCCAACCCCATTTTGTAAGCAGGTATGTCAGACCCCTCCCAGCCTCCCAGCTTTCCTGACTGGAGCTGTCCATCCCCAAGGACTGTTCTTCAGGCCCCAAGTGTCTGGACGGTTTGTACTGTAGTGACCCTGCCGTCATGGCCCCTCTTTGCCAATATATAGCTCCTTGGTACTTGGGTATCCATTTTTCAGACTAGTGTTTCCCAAGCCAGGCTAGAAAAAAAGAGCAGAAGGTGTCCCTTGTTCAGGGAAAAGTCTCACCAGGCCGCCTGCAGCTGAGGTCTTTGAGTCCTTGAAGAAGGTGAGGACGCCTCCCTCCAGCACAGTCCAGGAGGTGCTCCAATGTTTCTTCCTAAGTATAGAAGGAAGTGGGGGTGGGCGGGGCTTAGATTTGCTCCTAGTCTGGAGGACCTCCCACCCCCAGGACATAGAGTTTTAAGAACATAGCTTGGGGCACTGGCCCAAAAGAGTTGGATTCCCACCCCTAACAGCTGGTAGCCAAGGAACCTTAGGCGGCTCAGTTTCCTCACAGGACTTTTTATGAAGTCGCTACGAGGATTAGTAAGTGGCCCACTCTGCCACGGTTAGGGACTTGACAGGCCCTCACCGAAGTCTCTTCCCCTTGTCCACTGTCTTGGTACGATGGAGCACTCCTGCCTTGTCCAGCGTCTTGATCTAAGAGAATGGGGGGGAATCGGGAATGGTTATAAGGGGGACAAGCAACAAGGGACATAGCTAGCATCTCCTCAGCTGGAAGTTCCCCCACAGGCTAGGCCTGAGGCTCACTGAACCCTGTCACCCTCCCACCTGCTGGGAGGGAGGCACAGGGCGATTCCTCCAGGGCTTCCATGCTCCCCCTACGCTGGGCTTACAGGGAAGGGAAGAACATACTCCACCAATGCCTGACCCCAGACTCCATGGCCCTTTCCCACCTTCTCCTCTGGAGGGCTAGCCTGGACTGGAGTGTCACTATCCTGGCTGGATTTGCGAACACTTCGAGGGGCAGGGATCGGGACCTGGGGAGAGAGACACTATCACCTACCATCCCCTCCATCCTCCCTAGCTCTCTCCCTCCCCCAGTTAGTTACCTGGGGCAGCTCCCACTGAACAGAGGAGTCCTCTGGGTTGTAGAAATATGGCTTTCCATGCTGGTCCTCCAACCTTACCCACTGTGGACACAGGGATGGTCAGGGCCCTCAGCCCAGAGTCCAGCATGGTACTAGGGACTGGAGCACCCAACTTAGTACTGAATGTCGCAGGGTCTGCGCTTTAGTCTTGAGAGGAGGTCCTAGTTGAGGAAGTCTGGGGAAGGAGAGACAGCAAGGCTGTCTAGGTCACCTGCTAGTGATGTCCTACCTGCTCTTGAGTGAACTGGTTGGTGTAGAGCGTCTGCTTGTCTGGGGTAACGTGGCAGGACCAGCCAGGGGGTGCAGTCAAGGGAGAAGTGGGGTCAGGATCACTGAAGGAGCCCACCGGAGAATAGTCCTCTTCCGGGTAACTGGCCAGCAATTCGGGGTAGTCTGTCTCAGGAGTCGGGGGCTGCAGGGACCAGAAGATGCAGTTAGCGGTTCTCTGTCTCCTGTCTCTCCACTTCGTACCAGAACCGTCTATTACTCTCTAGTCTTTGGGGCCAAGAAGCAAGAAGTCAGAGGTCCTCAGAGACAGCTACTCTCTGGTCCCTGAGAAGCAAGAGGTGGGGTCAGAGATGGCCCCGCCCCCATTCTCTGGTCTCTGATTATCACGAGGAGGGGTCAAATATGCTGAGAAATGCTCCCCTCCCATTATCCCATCCCTATTATCTGATCCCTGAGATGCAGGAGGTGGGATCAGAGGCCCTCAGGGTGGCCCCACCCCTCACCCTCTGATGTCCTGGGCTTCGAGGGCTCAGGCTGGGTTGCATCTCCAGCTGCTCCTGGGGTTCCTCCTCCAGGTCCTCAGTCTCGTCCTCCCAGGCCGTCTCACCGGTCAAGGAATTGTAGAAGAACACCCTGCGACTATCCTCATCCCAGTACTGGCCCCACTCTGTCAGGCTCTCCCCACTGCCCACAGAGGTCCGGGAGGTGGCCGGGCTGGTGGCGCCTTCAGAGGCCTCAAAGGGTGACTCCCAGGTGGTCACGCCCGTGTCGGGGTTGTAGTAGTAGGGGCGCCCAGTGCCCGTGTCTGTGTGGGTCTCCCACACCGGGCTGAGCCGAGGAGGAGCTGCAGCCGAGCGCGGCGAGGTGGCTCGAGGTTGCTTCTCTACGTTGGCATACACTGGCTCCGGGGGATCATCCACCTGCGGGAGCCGAAGGAGACAACTTTTGGGGCAACTCCTGAGTCGCACAGTGTGACCTTGGACATTTGCAAACTGGGCAGTCTTCCGCGAGCCCGGTTACTTCTCTGACTCAGTTACCCTGGGTGGAAAATGTATGCTTTGCCCATCCCAGACACTGTGGTCAACGCTTTTGATGGTGCTGCCTGAAGCAGCGTGTGCCACAGACGGGAAGTTCAGTTTGTTAATCATCTAACCATAACTCGGCTCTCAGGAGTCTGCACTCAGGGGACGTGAGGCACTGGCAGCAACAGACCAATGGCCTGGGACCCGTTGTTCTTTCGTGGGCCTCATTTGGGGTCCTTTTGCAGTGCATAGCCCCACTGAAGGTTCCCACCACCCTTGAGAGCCCCAAGGAGGGAGGGAGGGAGGAAAGGAGAGAGGGAGGGAGGGAGGGAGGGAGGGAGTGGAGAGTGGGGGAGGATGGGGACAGGGAAGGAGAGGGGAGGAGAGGGTTCACCTGGCTAGTCACAGAGGAAAAGCTGGTATGATTCACACTTTCTTCCTCCCCGTGGGCAATGGGCAAAGTCTGAGGCCTGCAGAGGCCATCCATCACCTGCCTGGACTTGGGCTCTATTTCCTGCCACTCCTTGTTGCCCCTGGCCTTGAACTTTAAGCTCTTGTTGCACCCCTCTCTGCTGGAACTTCTGGGGCCCAGTGCCTTCAGCTCCTCCGTAGCTTGTTGGGTTTCCCACTCCACCTGGCTCACCCCGTTTGTGCTTCAGGACTCAGGTCCCGAGACTCTCCCCACATCCCTCCAGTGTTCCCAACATCACGCAGCCCAGCAATGCCAACCCTCTAGAGAGGCAGACGGCCAAGGCAGCAGGGTTAACAGTTTTCTAAGAATACACAATGCTCCCAGCAACACATACACCTCAATAAGCTAATATGTGTGGGCTGGGGAGGGTGCTCATATAGCATGCAGGGAGCCCTGCCTGATTCCTTTCCCAGCACTGCATACAACCAGGCATGGTAGTACATGCCTGTAATTCTAGCACTCAGAGGACAGACGCAGAACTTCACAAGTTCAAGGCTATCCTTGTCTACATGTGGAGTTTGAAGCCAGGTTGGGGTACATGAGACCCTGTCTCAAAAAGACTGAAATCAAACAAAATGCTGACAGATGGTCTATATGGGCAGTGTGATTATAGGGTTATTTTTTGGGGGTGGTGGTGGTGGTGCTAATTGAACCCTAAGCTTCAAATACAGAAGGCAAATAGGTACTGTCCCATTGAGCTCCAGCTCCAATTTCTTTTTTCTTTAAAAATTTTTGGAGATTCCAATTTTTGTAACAGTAACTGTTTTTCTGTGTGTGTGTGGCAGGGGGAAGGTTTTCAAGTCAGGGTTTCTCTGTGGCTTTGGAGGCTGTCCTGGAACTAGCTCTTATAGACCAGGCTGATCTCGAACTCATAAGAGATCTGCCTGCCTCTGCCTCCCGAGTGCTGGGACTAAAGGTGTGAGCCATGGTTAAAAAGGAGCATCTGCATGAGAATAGTCTTTATTCTGGGCCACTGTACTTTATTGGAGCCTGTCCTGGAACTCCCTCTGCAGACCAGGCTGGCCTCAAACTCACAGAGATCCACCTGTCTCAAACACAAAATGTGCTGACAAGGTGGCTCAGTGGATAAAGGCTCTTGTTACCAAGCCTGATGACCAGCATTTGATCTCTGGGATCAAACCACGTGGTGAAGGGAGAGAACTGACTAGCACAGGTTGTTTTCTGTCCTCCACGTGTGTGCTGTGACACACTCACAATTCATGTGATAAAACCAAACCATCACAAACGTTCCTGTGTCCTACTCAATGTGGCTTCTCCCTGGGTTTTAGGAAGGAACATAAAAAGTATCCACTGGGGGCTGGAGAGACGGCTCAGTGGGTTAAGAACATTTGCTGCTCTTGCAAAGGACCTGAGTTCAGTTCCCAGCACCCACATGGTGGCTGGCAACTCTCCAACTCCAGGGGATCTGATGCCCCCCTTCCCCCCGCTTCTGACCTCTTTGGGCACCAGGCACACATGCGATGCATGTAATTACATGAGTATTTGTATCCACACACATAAAAATAAGTAAAGATTACCCCCTCCCAAAGTCACTCATCTCACAAAGATTCCCATGCTTTGTCAGGTGGTAGGAACTTAGCCATGGGGTTGGGGATGCAGCAGAGAACAAAGGGACACAAGTCCCTGCTTTGCAGAACTGGCCTCAAAGGCACACATGGCAGGTGTAGAGTGTGGCAAGCGCAGCATGTCAGTGATGTCACTGCTGAGAAAGACCGCAAAGGTGGGGGCCAGCAAGAGGGCTCAGCCGTTACAGGTATGTGCCACCGGGCCTGACAACCTGAGTTTGAACCCCAGGACCCATATAGTGGAGGGAGAGAACTGACTCTGCCAAGTTGTCCTGTGACTTCCACACCTGTGCTGAGGCACACATGATTATGTGTGCACGCAATCAATAAACAGAATAAAGAAAGTGTAAAGGCATGGAAAGACGTGGAAGGTTACAGTTTCTGACTGGCTAGCCCCCAGGATGCAGGTGCTGGGCTGAGTACACCAGTTGTCCTTTACCCTCCAGGCTCATGAGGTGGAGACAGGGCCTTCTGCACACTGCTTTCTCCCGGACCCCAAACCTCACGTGTATTCCTGTATTTCAGCTACCCCAGGCTATCCCTCCTCATCAGAAGACCCACCTACCCACTTCTCCCTGTCCACTTCCTCAGGCTGTCCCATGGGCCTGACTGTCCTTCTCTCCTGTTCTCCCCATGCTGACTTTGTTCCCTTTGGTGCCTCAGGTCACAGCCTCTCAGGGGAGAGGTTTAAGACACTCATTACTTTGGTAGGGTCCAGTAGCATTCTGCCTTGGAAGTTGGGTAGCTGCCCACCTATCTGACTGCCTTCCTTCCTTTCTTTTTCTCTCTTCCCTTGTGTATATGGTGTGCTCGTGTGTGCACGCGTGCGTGCGTGTGTGCGTGCGTGCGTGCCGTGCGTGCGTGCGTGCGTGTGTGTGTGTGTGTGTGTGTGTGTGTGTGGGTGTGTGTGTGTGTGTGTGTGTGTGGGTGTGTGTGTGTGTGTGTGTGTGTGTGTGTGTGTGAATGCAGGTGCACATATGTCTGCATGTGTATATTGTTGATAGGGCTGTCTTCCTTGATCGATCTCCACCTTATATTGAGGTGGGGTCTCTCACTTGAAGCCAGAGCTCACTGATTTGAGCTAGCCAGCTTGCTTTAGAAATCCCCATCTCTGCCTCCCCAGAGCTGGGATTACAGGCAGACTGCCAAGTCCTCCTAGCATTTACATGGGTGCCAGGGATCCAAACTCTCAGGGCCTCATGCTTGAACCTCGCCCCTTTGCCCAAGGCATGCGTCTCTTGTGAGTAGGATGTAAGATGGTGTGTCAGCTGCCACTGCCCCCATCAGGTGAGACAATGCCCTGGAGCATAACAGATCTATCCAAACACTGCTTTAATATGCAAGTCAATTCCACGGCAAATGTTGGAAACAAACAAACCCATACACACAGAACAGAATGTGAGAAAGGGTTTGCTGGGAATGAAGGTTTGAGCCACAGAGCCCAGGAGATTCATGGGGACAGGACAGACACTATGAGAGGGATCGCAGAGGCCAGATATACCTCCTGTCCCACACCTAGACGCATGCATGCACGCAAGGGGCAGTGGCCTTGAGTGTTTCAGGAGCCGGGGGTGGGGGTTGGAAGGGTTCGTGGGTGGTGGGGAGATGCTGTGGTGCTTGCTGCTGGGCTCGCTCTTTGGAGCAGGGACTATGCTTGACAGGCTACTGGAGCTACGGGATCTCAACAGAGGACACGCCGGCAGGTATTGGGTGATACTGAGGAGAGAGAGGTTTGGGTCCCTGGGCTACCACAAAAAGAGACGATGCAGAACCATGTGGTGGAGGCAGAAAGCATTAGGAGGATGTGCTGCCCCAGAGACAAGCGCTTGGGATGGAAGAGAGGGGCCCTCATAGAGGCAATCAGGCAGAACCCACCCCCGTTTGAAGCTGCAGCCATGGAGCTGAGTGCTCACTGGTCCATCTAACTCTGGACCTCTCCATGTACTACACTCTCCCTCCCATGAGCTAAAGGGGCTTTCATCTGGCAGGGTCCAGCTGGGCTCTCGTTGCTCCTGGGGTCTGAGTAGGCCCCTCACTGTGTTTTTTTTTCTGAGCGGGGAGACAGAGGGGCCTGCCAAGCTGGCCCCCACTCTGGAGACCCACATGCTGCCACAGCCTAAAAATAGTATCCAGGGCTCCTAAGTTGTTCCGTATAGACACAGGGCCTGAGTGAGGAAGAGGAAGAGGCCTCCCCACCTCAGGTCAGAGGACTGAGCCAAGAGAGACCTTTACTCTCACCACAGAGATCCTCCTTCACTTCCTCATGGTAGTGCACTCCTTGCCTTCCACCCCCCCCCAACTCCCCTCATCCACAGTGGTAGAAGCCCTGTCTCTCTTGCCCCAAGCTGGGGATCTCAGATCTCTCTGTGCACCCTTAGACAGGAAAGGCCTCGAAGAAGAAAAGTGCCGACCGACGTAACTGTTCTGAGCTTCTACAATCAGCTCCTAAAAGAGTGGGTGGGGTGCGGGCCACTGCAGCTCTGAACCCAGAAGGCCTCCCCATCAGAGGTCAAGCCTGCCCCCGAGTCCTTCTATCCTTACCTGTGCCCGCAGGGCCCGGCTCTGCCTCCTGGCCAGTTTTGCAATCATGTCCACCATCCCGGCCCCTCTGAGCTGCTGGGATGCTGCCTGGGAAGTTTTTAGGGGGTGGAGCCCAGGACCACAACTCTGGGCTGGCACAGGGCAACTGGGAAACAAGAAGTTGCCTTGAGATGGCGGGAGGCTGAGACTGTGACTGGTTTCCTGTCAGGGCTGCGGAAGTGCCTGAGACGAAGTTGCCTGATGGGTGGGGGGTGGCGCAGGTTGGGGTGTTTTCATGTTTCCAGGACTGCGCTGGCTGT